CTAGCGTGTTGCAACTGTGCAGTTCTCCTCGCTAGCCCTAGTTAGTCGGTGGTGCTTCTGGGGAGGTGGCGGGATTTTCCTGTGAGCTAGTGTACTCTGGACTTCAACAAGTCGAGGTAAGTGTCAAGATCGAGAAGGATGATGCAAGCCTGGAGACTCAGTCGACAACCAGTACTGGCCGTGAAGCATCTTCGTCACAGACAGAGACTCGTGTGCGCACCCGAGGCTCTGAGAGCATCCTACTCGTCTCGGGCTCCTCAGCAGCGGAGGTGGCTGCGGCGGTGAAGCCTGTTTCCTACGCTTATCCTCCTCCAGCGGAAGCTCCCGGAAGCCCTTCAAACTCAGGGCGCTGGACTTCGACAGCAAAATCCTGGAGGCTTACGACTTGCAACGTCGCGCTCGTTCTTTGCAGTCCGTCTCCATCGAAAGGTGCCCAAAGAAATCGCAGGATGGGTCTGCGGCAAGCCAGGGCTTCAGACAGGCTGCATGCTTTCCTCGTCCTGTTCTCCGCTTGTGCTTTGAGGGCTGGCCGGCATTTGAAGCTCATCCGGGAGATGACCGGCGTAGCAGTGCTTGCAGCTCAGCGGCTCAGGGTCGGGAGCCTCGGCATCCTGCCGAGGCTTCTCCATCTGAGGTTGAGCATGAAGGACTCTGCCGCCTCGGAGGATCAGGGAGAAGCCCACGGCCGATGGCCTACGCATGCCTACGCCAGCACCAGTGCCAAACGGAGCAGTTCAGATTCTCCGCGCCAAGGTGATGGGGCGAACCCGTCACGATGCTCCCTGGAGATCAAAGGCAGCGCTTATCCTGTTCCTCCAGACACCCAGCACCAAGGGTCTTAGAAGGTCTCCGGGAAAACGTGGAGGACGCCGCCATGTGCATGGAGGCCTCCGTCTCTTTTCGTCCGTAGCACGCAGAAATACAAGGAACACCGCGGCATCGCAGTGACGGGAACATGCTCTGGTAGGCTCACATGAGCTACCACTCTGTCTTTCAGGAGATGGAGCAGGCATCATTCGCTGCAGAGTCAATCATGCGGTTTCAGCACCGAACCGACAGCTTGGACAGAACGGAAAGCGATTCGGGGTTCGGTTCGTGTGAGTTGAACACCGATTTGCAGTAGAAACTTGTATGCCGCAGAAAGAAGACATGCCTTCGCGAAAGGTCCTGGATGTCCTCACTTAAGTATTGCCGTTGGCGAAAGGATGCTATTCGGATTGCCAGAAAGTCTGGTGTCTGGTGTGCAAATGTCTGCGCTGGTTGCATGAGCGTTCTTTGTTTCTGAAGTACGAGTCCTTTCCCCTGTGTTGCTACCAGCAGGTGGAAAAAGAACTTGACCAACGGATAGCAGATGCACGGGGGCCTGGAGCTTGGCTGTTCCGCTTCGATCGCTGTGCTCTTCTTAGGCGATTTAGGCATCTGAACTGGTAAGTTGCGTTTTGAACCGTTGTTCCAAGCGGTACAGATTGGATGGACTTCGATGCAGGCGCCTTTCCAGAAGGGCGGTGTCCTCGCAAGCTGGGCCGAGCTCTCAAGTGCGCAAAAAGTCTTCGTCGCAGCTCATTAGGCCTATCGAGCTAGCGAGCAGCAAAAGGCGTGTCGTGCTTTGTGCAACTGCCGCTCTCGTCTTCCAGGACCGGAGCGTCGCAAGCGCGGTCAGACTCGAGAGGTTCGGCAGAGTGGAGGGGTGTCCATGGTGCTTCGGGAAGCTTCAGTGTCTGGGTGCACAGGTGCAAAGGGACGGTCAAAGTCTCCAGGCAAGCGGCAGCGGCGACCCCAGGCGGAAGGCAGCAGCGAAACAGACTGAACCTTTTTCTTCTGTCGGCTCCCAGGCCCAAAGGAGGTGCCGGGCCTTCGCCTGCAGCTCGACACTCGGAGACTCGCTTTGGGGGAAAGGGCTGCTGTCTTTTTTGCGGCGGGCTCCGGCCCGTCGGAGCTTCCATGAGGCCAAGCAGGTGAGCCGGTTTCTCGGTGTTTCAGAGATGACCCGAGATGACCCATGTTCATGTGGTAAGAGACCACCGCTCTGAGGAACGGGGCGCATCTGGGCTGGAGCCGCCGAAGGCCGCACTGCCAAACGGAAGGTTAGAGGATCTGAGTGCGGCTGTCATGCAGACTAGGTTCGGCCGCCAATCCAGCCAGGAGCCAAGCAGAGCTGCAGACATGTCCGCAGACTCTGCTCTTTTTCTTTCCAGTGAGTTTGGGATGAGGTCCGTGCAGCCAAGGGACGAGGTCGGCTCCTCCAAACATTCGGAAGGGCCGCCAAACACCTTTTCTGGTTTTTCCGGGCTGCAGGACGAGGGCGTGGCTTCAGCAGTGCCATCGGAGCCAAGCCGTGAACAAAACAGGGCACGTGCTGCAGGCATCAGATGATTGTTGAACGAACAAAAGTCTGCTGTCACCGTCCTCTCACCCTCTGCAGCTGTTCCACCCACAGACCAACACATGAAGGGAAAGATGCGCAGCTACCATCGACAAGTCTCGACAACGAGCTCCAAGCAAGCGTTTTGAAGCTTGATCTTGGCCCTTTCGTCAGGTGGCCATGGAAACAGGGGCTGCGCATGTCCAGCTGGAGTGTCGACTATGTTTAGCCACAGAGAGAGACGGGGCAGAGGGCTTGGAAGCCCACCTATGCTTCCCTTGTAATTGCCGAGCACCCGTCCACCACGGATGTTTAATGCAGTGGCGAAGGGCTCAAGAGGATCAGCTTTCGGAGCGGCACACTTTCGACGAAGTTCAAGCCCGCATAAACACTTGCGAGGTTTGCGGAGCCAGGCTCCTGCTGGAAGAGACCCGGCCACAACCGCAGCTTTGTTCGGCGGTCTGCCGAGCTCAGGGGGGCACGCAGAAAGTTGCGCTTCGCCGAGTGCCCACGCTATCTCGGGCAACACGAAACTTCTCAGAGTTCTCTGCGTCAGATGGGCAGCAGCTTGAGGTTCTGGAGCAGGACGTTACCGGGGAGTTTTTTCGTGTACGTGCCCTTGGGGCGAAGCGCTATCGAGGCGAAGGTGTCACGGCAGTGGCGGAGGGCTGAATTCGACATGTCTACTTGGATTGGCAGTCTGGAGTCTCACTGCCCCCGCCGCGGATGCCACCTGCATTCCTCGCCGAAGGTACGGATCGCTTAGGAGCTAGTACTGCGACTGCTCAGGACAGTGTTTTCTCGCTGTGAGCACAGCGAGAAAAGCGTGAGGTGAGTCTTTTTTTGACGGTGTTGGGGCAGCGAGGCACGCATGCCGACTTTGAATCCTTTGAATGTTGGAGCTGGCTCAAAACTAACACTCAGCTACGTTGTTGCATTATGCATTCTTTAGATTTGACACCTGGATTGAGCAATGCAGACTCGCTGAGAACTGGTGTAAGTCCAATCAAAGAAGTTGCACCCGATCAGTACTGGAAACTGGAAAGCATCCGCGATGGCCCAGACAGTCATCGCGACCCAACAGGACGTGTAGGGCCAAGCGTCATCATGCACACAAGATTGGACATACCCTCGGCTCTTGTACGTTCGGCAAGGCAGCTGTCTCAGAAGAGGATTGCTGCAAGCAGGCCTGCATGTGCTGTGACTGTTTAAACAGCACCACAGCTGTGTCTGGTTGTCAGGATCGCCAGCCGAGCGTTTATGAGCTCTTGGACGAAGCTTGTGTGCAGTTGTAGCGGTATTTTCTGTGTGGATGCAAGCTGTTGGGAAGCCAAGGAACTGATCAGTTTTGATCGATCCACACTGACCAAGGTGCTCCTGTCCTCCCTAAGATCATAGTCATAGGGTCATCAAGAAGGAATACTTCGCAGGGCTGCACCCGGGCCCGCAAGCACTTGAAAGCGCATCTGTGCAGATTCTCGCCGTGTGTGCCTCCACGCTGCTGCTCGTCAGCAGCATCTTGATCTACCAGGAGGCCCAAGCAAGAGATCATGCACTGCAGTAGGCTGGAAGCCGGGGACGAAGATGAGAAACAAGGAGTGGTTTGTTGGGCATCAGGTCGCTGCTGGTCGGACGGACCTCGCGATGATCTATGGAGGTTCAATCTCGCCCGACAAAGTGCTTAGAAGCATGTGCGGTTCTAGAACGGCATGGCAGCTTGCTTCCTCTGGTGGTTCCTCCAGTTTCTGTTTTTGCGATCGCATGACCGAAAGGCTTCTTCCTCTTGGTGATCGGATTGGTTGCATCTGTCCGACACCCGATTCAAGCTGCCGTGGAATCAAAGACCTGCGGAGGGACTCCCCTTTTGGGTTAAGATGTTCTAAGGTGGCCTTTGTTCTGCACGAGACCTCGCAGTTGGAGGTGGCAGTTTGACATGTGGCTGGATTGCTTTTCTGCCCAATCATCTGCCAGGCTGTGCAGACAGCTGAGAAAAAAGGCGAATAAGGTCTCAGCAGTGCGTCTGAAAGATGCGACGCGGGACCGAATATGCAGCGTAGGACTCGTAGGACAAGAGGACCAGGAGGCGAGCAGTCTCCGCTGAGACACTCTTTGGAGCGACGTGTTCGACGAATTCCGCTGCCGGGCTGGCCCGACCTGACCTGTGCGGAGGTTGCTGCGAGCTTACCCGCTCCCTTCCAGCAGAAGCACTTGCTGGCTCAAGGTCCGCCGGCAGATCATGTGAATGGACAGAGTTTGTGGGTAAACCAAGTCGGCCTCCGATCAGCATCATCAGCATGGACATGCCTTAGCCGGGAACGGTCTTGAAACGAGTTGCTGCATTCCAGGAGATAGGGATAGGGCTTCGAAGCATGCGCGCCATAACTGGCCAATCCCGGTCGGTAAGCCAGATTGGAGAGGCTGGCTCGGGCTCCCGGCACGTGGTCATTGACTTATCCAATGACCCGGGCGGGGCGGCGAGACGCGGTACATCTCCTGTGCCCTCGCCGATGCCTCCGCCTCCCTTTGTGGCATCGTCGCCTTTGCGAGGATGGGGTGCTGCCACACCCATGACTCCGTGCCCGCCGCTGTCTGCTCGGGACATATCTCGAAGCACTGCCGCTGTTCGCGTTCACACGCCAAATGGCATCGCTTCAGCTGTGCGGGTGAGACAGGCGCCCTGCTCTAGGAGAGTTGCCTCCCTGAGAACACGTAAGGAATAGCTCTGGTTCGCAACCACCAAGACAGAGTGAGCGAAGGAGAGGTGGCATTGAGTAGGCCCGAGGCGAGAACAGCTTCCATAATGCTTTCAGGCCTTGAGTATCCTTGAGGTATACAGACCATGTTGCACCTTTGGCAGGCACACTCCCCGACACCGCTGATGTTTGCAAGACATGCCGTCTCCGCCGTCGTTGGGCAAACCGTCGGATATCCAGCAGCAGCAGGTGTCGCAGCTGCAGCGGCGACTCCTCCCGTTCGGCGAGGTCTTTTCGAGTATGCCTTAGCCTCGCCCCGGCGCCTGGCACCCCAGGAAGCCTACGGAGCCACCCGACCGGTGGCGGTATTTAGCCCGAGACACGTCACTGCCGTCAACGGCGCTTGTCGCTTTCAACAAGTCCCTACGGTGACTCCGCCAAAGCATGCGCCATCTACGCCGCCGGCGGACGGTACTGGAGCTTCTGGGGCAAGGCATGCCCCCATCCTGTGTGTAGATTCCTCTTTAAGTTGAGCACCACTGAGCCTCAGCGGTGTACAGGACCCCGGCACCACCAGCGCCAGCGCCGACACCAGCTACGCCACCGCAGCCCTCAGCCCCTCTTCCTGCACAAGGTCAGGACGAGGAGCCGAACCAGCTGGTTCCTGGGTCCTTGCCTCAGTCATCGCAGAGAGCTCTAGGGTCTGTGTGCCGTCGGCCGCATCATGCCCTCTGAGGACGCAGCTGCAGGTGGGGTGCCTGCATCTTCGATGTCAGGAGTTATTAGGTGCCTGCGTCTGCAGCTATGCATGTTTTGTGCGTAGTTGAATTCCCATGCCCTCCGCTTGACGATCTCTCCACAGCCAAGGAAGCGGTTCCTACAGCACCGTGTGGCTGGCACAGGCTAGGATCTCTGTAAGGCTTAAGGCTTAAGAGTTCAGGCACCAGGGATTCAGCCGACAAAGATCGACGAGGTACCAGTGACTTGCACTCTGGGATTTGCGCAGGTAGAGAAAGCTCAGGAGGGCAGCGACATGCCTCGCAGCGTCGCCCTGAAGGCTTTCGCCGCAAATGCAAACGATGCGACAAGCAATGCTTTGCGCTGGTCAGGACGTTTTCTGCAGGGGTGAAGCTGCTCTGCAGCAATCCCTCTTTGAAGTTCAACTGTTAATGGCCGTGGAGCCGGGGTCCAAGAGGAAGGAAGCGACCTGCCACTAAAGTGACTAGTGTGATGGAGACAGACTCCCCTCTTTTCCTCTCCTCGTCCCCTCGTCAAGGCGCCGGGCCGCGCGCGCCGCCCAGCGCGGCCTCCCGCCGCAGGTGCCGCGGCTGCCGCGCTGCCTTACTTACCAGGCGCGGACAGTTTGAGTCGAGGGAGATGGAGCTTATAAATCCTCCCTCGTGCTTCTTTCTCCGATTCGTGTGCCTTCTGAGAGGTAGATGCTTCGGGCTCTGGCTGGAGTGTCCGAATGGCGCTGACACGCCTGCGGGGCGAGCAGCTTGACGGCTGGCTGCAAAGATCGGCCGAAGTCAGTGGCGAAAGCTCCCAAAGGTTTCGCGGCTCAGAGTCGGTCCATAGCAGCACGGTACATGGCACGTTCAGAGTTCGGGGATGATATGTGAGAAGGGATGGGGGTCGCAGAGGCCCTGGACAGATGCGCTGCGCGGTGGATGCATTCTGGCAAGGTCGCGAAGTTGAAGATGCGACCAGATTCCATATATTCCATTGACTGCGGCGTTGGCTCGTGCAAGGCGCTTGCTGCAGCAGCTGGGCCCAACGCTTCAGAACCTGGTCCAGTGCCTGGCGGAAGAGTCATGCGGCACATGTGTGACGTGACTGACATGAGCCAACAGTCAAGACCTAGCGTGCCTCCTGCGTCTGTTCAGTGGGTCGCGTCTTGAAGACCTTTGTGCTCAAGTTGACACTCGGCAGCGAGAGGGCGAGCGGAAAAGGGATGCGGCATCGCGGGTAGACTCAACAAGTGGCTCTTGATGCTGAACCTGCTTTACAGAATGTTGGCCTGAGAAGTCCTCGCTTGCCATGGCTGGCATGGATAAGTCCTACTTCCTCGATGGCAAGCCTTCCACCGGTGCGGAGGTGAACCAGGATCTCCACGTGGTGCCCGCAGGCCGACATCCAGCTTGCTCGGCCTGATTCTCCCTGGGCAGGCGAGTCACGCTGGAACGGAGCTCCGGCAGATGCTGCCCAGCACCACATGCGTGCGGGTCTTCGTTGCGGGAGCTGTGACACACGTGGGCAACTTGGCAGTGCAGGGCTGCAAGACGGTGAAGGTCAATCTCATGCAGGATTACGAACTCGCTTGTAGGCAGCAGTGTTGGTCTGGATGTAGAGTATGATGAAAAGGTCGGTGGAAGTTGGTGCAAAGTGATCCACATGTCTGTTTAATGCTCTTGTCCTCGTGCCGTTCTGGCGGCGGCGCGAGAACAAGAGTTTGCCGGCTTGACCTGCGGGGATCATGTCTGGACGCTTTCAGGGGAGAAATCTGCAAAAAGCCCAGATGCCATCATCCGAGCAGATCCGCATAGATCTCAGGCAAGACCTCGGTGTGCCTGGGTCTTCTGGCTGCGCTTCGAAAGGCTGGGCTGACAGTCTCTCGGATGCGACATGTCCCGGGTCGATAAACCCAAGGCTTCCAGGCCTTGAGCAGACATCGATGTTTCTCCTGTTTCTACCCGTGCTAAAATTTCAATATGAGGAGCCCAGTGTCTGAAAGGCATGTCAAAACTAAGAAGCATGGAAGAGGCCCCGGCGCCTACGTTTCAGCAGATATCTGCTCTTCTTGGCTCTAGTTTGTTGTGGCTGTGTCCTCGAACTTCAGCTCCCGAGCTGCATCCAAGGCTCAAGAGTTGGCTTACATCAAGCCGGCGACGCAGTGCGAAGCACCGGATTTGCTAAGCAAATGGTGTGCCAAAGAAGGCCATGGAATCTTCGACCCTGTCTGCCTGCTATCGGGTAGTGCGGCAGTATGCAGTGAGAAGCACGTCCTGAGATTCTGTCGGAAGATTCAGCTGAACCCATGTGTGGGTGTGTGCATGCCTTGTTGCAAAAGCATATGAAACCACGGCAAAGATATCAGAAAAATTGCGAGTCTGTCACTCAAGACAGGCATCGAGTATGTCGCTGGAGAAGAAGCGCCCCTGGTGTTTTACTCGGGGTTTACGCGCTCTTTCCTAGCCGGCGAGCAGGGCACCAGCGCCCAGTGGCTGCAGAAGAGCTTCAGCTGACCTGAGCAATTGTGTGAAGGACGTCGCGGTTCAGAGTACTCTGCGATCTGACGACCAATCTGCGTTTCAGGATTGAGGAGAGGATACAGCAGATGTCTCATGGCAAGCGAGTCGTCAGCACCTAAGGTCTCACTATAAGACAGGGCAGTGCTGTGTATGGCAAAGCAAGGAACTGCACTCTCGCCAAATGACCCTCCAGCCAGGTCATTGTCGACGGAGTTGGCTTTCCTGCTGTTGGGTCCATTGTGGGCGTTGACAATGCGGATGTGGCTCGTGCGTCCAGAGCACCGGTTTTGCTCGTCTGTGCCATGGCGTCAGCAAAGAGTCGGGAATCTGTTCAGTCTTGTCGTGCGTGTGGCTTCTATAGCATGGCCAACAGCAGAGGCAAGTCTGGCGTCGGTGCCGGCCTTATTATCCTGACTTGCATTCGAGTGTCTCTCTGCCACGGGGCATGGACGGAAGTGTATCGTTAGTTGAAGTGGGGGGAGTTGCTCTCGTCGGACATCAGTGATGTACAGTTTGTGAATAATGACATCGACTTGAAAGCGGAGGCTCTGCCGTGGACAGCTTTAGCTTGAACTCTTCGTATTTCTTGGCGAAGAGTGTGCCAGTACTCGGCGCTGTTTTCAATCTTGCCGATACTTGACTCCGACCATCGTGAGAGATCTGCCTGCTACTGACTTGGGCTCCTGACTGGTTCCGATTCCCGAGGAGATCGAGGGTTTCTATTCCTGGGACAAGTGCAGAGAGAGCATCGAGGCGTGGTTTGCGCTGCTTCTTGCCCGCAGGCGAGAAAGGGCTCTCCCTAGCTCGCCTGCTTCGCTTCTCTGAGGCAGGGCGGGCGTCGAGAGCGCTTCTACGGCGTCGTGCCCAAGCTACCCGAGTTGGACGGTTTGCGCAGCTTGCCTGGAAAGTCCTTCACAGTCTCCTGGCCGTATCTGGCCGTGAGGATGTAGAGCCAAGGTGAGCGAATCAAGGAGACGGGTGAGGAGGATCTGGCCGCTGGGCAGCAAGGGTCAGCCAGTCGAGTCGGAAGAAAATCGGGTCAGCATCGTAGGCAAACAGTTGAAGTCTTTGTTCTTTCTGGCGCCCGCTTGTGATGTTTCGCTCCCGGGGGAGGAGAGCGGGGCGTAGGGAGGTTGTCTTGTGAATGCTCAATCGCCGCCCATCTCTTGCCGATCACTCGGGTTTACCGGTTGCATGTTGGGGTCATGGTCTTTCCATTGCTGATTATCTCGTTGCGCGAGGTGCTTCTTTCGCACTCACTCGAGTTTGCTCGCCGGGGATGCAACCTTCATAAGCCAATCCTGAGCAAGTGCCAAGTGAAGGACTGCAAAGTTTTACTCATAGCCTCGCCCGTGACGTCCCCCGTGTGCCATGTTACGGTACAGTATGTGTACATGTTAGACTGTTAGAACCGTTAGAATCACCCATCAGAAACTCACGATTCCCAACCCTGAGTCTGAGTGTCCCGCGCTTAGGGCCCCTCTCAACAGTGAGGGGCTTGGGCCCGGAGCCGATGAGGCACTGTCAAGTTGACATTCTCCTCAGGATGCATTGGCTGATATGAACGCTGTGCACTTCGCTCAGCACGTGGCTCCTTGCCTGCATTTGCGAGCGCCTCTTGCAACGCTGACGGTGAGGGCCTTCCACAGACTGCCTGCGTTCAAGGACATCGCAGCAATCTTTGCCGATGCAGCTGCTGATCCTTGGTGGCTCAGCTTGGCAGAGAGCGACACCCGCATTCTGTCATGGGGACTTCGAGCGGACCGTCCAGTAGCAATGCAGGTGTCGTGGTGTGCGAACCAATCCACAGCCGGCTCCAACGGTCAGGGGCGGCACATTTCAACCGCATCTTGTCTGCACCAGGGTGAAGCTTTGCTGGGATGCTGCCTACCCACGGGTAAACTGTAAACCAAGGTTGTCTCGGGATGCCGTGTCTGCCACAGCAAAGAAAGCGGGTGCCAAGGGAGGTGGCTGAGGAGGGTAGAGGTCTGGGGCCACGGCACCAGACCACTTTCCTAATTCCTTTCCTGGACCGACGGGGCTGGTGAATGAGGCTTGTCGAATTCCTATTGTCTGCTCCGGTTCTGTCCCAAGAAGTTCGCATGTCCTCATGCCCTCGCACTCAGGACAGCTTCCCGCTCTTCGGTGGAGCTTGACTGATCAGCCGAATCGTAGCAGGGCCTCGTGTGACCCGTGTTCGCTCGGGAAAAGGGACGAGGGATTAGAATTTCACGGACTTCCACAAAACATGGCATGAGAAGCGTTGCTCATGCGCGGAGGCTCCCTTGGCGTGGCACCGTGATGTCAACTCCCATAATGCCAGCTTCTCAAAAATGCAGGTGCCACAAAGAAGGAAAGGGCACTGGCCTGTCAGGTCTCCATCACGTTTATTTTCCGGCTACCGATAATGCATCATTGTGCTATGTCTGCTGTGCCCGAGGTCCTCATTTGCAATGAGACGTCGGAGGACATTTTGTCTCTGACAGTTTTCACTCTTCTCCTCTGCAACTTCCAACTGCTTGAAGGACGGCACGTTAAGCTTGGATGACGGCGAGGTGCAGCGGATACCAGATACCGCAGTGCAAATTGGTGTCGGAGTCGGAGTTAGGAGAAAGCCTCCTTCTGGCTCTGTGATCTGGGGCTTGCCGTCGACTCCCAGAGCTGGATCGGAGAGGAGCCACGGCCACAACCGAGAAATTCGCGCCTCGTTTCCTCGGGCAGTCGACTGGTTCTGTTGAGTCGTGGCTGCATGTTTTCGGAGGAAAATCTCTGGAGGGTGACGGACATCGGTTGGGAGCTGAAATCGTGGAGGATGCCTGCTACTGGTACTTGCTGCCTCCAAACGCCTCGAACCCTTCAGGTGGGGATTGCAGATACTGGCCAGCCTCCTGTTGGATGGTCCACTGCTCTTGGCCCAAGCATGCCCAAACAGACCACGACTTGTGGGACTCTCCCACCGAGGCTTTGGGGCAGACTACTTGGAGGAAAGGTCCGAAGCCTGGCCAGACCCGATCTTGAGTTAAGTCTTTGGCCAAAGCTGGCGCACCCGGAGCTTGCGGGAATCGGAACACCTTTGTCGCTGAGGCCTAACTTTTGCAGGCAGTACAAAAGCAGGCGAGGAAAGGACTCCTTCTTCACGAGCTGAGAGCCATGTATTGTCATCACCCAACCCTGAAGATCTTGCAAGATCTGCTGCCTCAAAGTCCTTGACATGGAAACGTTTTCCCTGGCAGGCTGGATATCCACGCGCTCGGCATCACAGCCATAGAAGTCCTATGCTGGAACCTTGGGAGCTTGCAAGGTCGTGGCAGCTATTTTGTTTCTTGCAACCCCCGCCCTGCTTGAGGTACAAAACCCCTGGCCCTCCGCACAGCCGGTGCTCCTGCCGGCTTCTGTCCCAGAGTGCTTCAACCTTGTGTGGGGCGAGGCAGCATAAGATTTCAGGCGATGTTCCCAGCTGCTGGTCGAGCCTTCTGGATGCGTGGAAGAGCCTCTATAGCAAGTTGCGACCGGTTTTGGAAACCACTCCTTGAGCAGCTTTCCGACAGCGATTTTCCATTCGGCCTCGAAGGCAGTATCACGATACTGTAAGCGACTGGTGGCAGGCAGTTTCCGACAGTTCTGCGCATGTTGCATCTGTAGCATCCACAGCCGTCGGAGTAGCCAGCAGTCAGTGCAGTGTTCAATGACGGTCAGGCCATCTACAGCGTGTTTAGCGCGGGTGGCGACTTCCGTCCAGTTCATGCCTCTTTGCAGCATTAGCTAGGTTTCGTCATCGCATCACAGGGGTTGAGAACAGATGGACTTTGCAAGGCTTGGCTGGTGGAGATCGCTGCGTGCGGTCCCTTGAAATGTTGACCCTAAAGTGAAACCTTCGTGGCAGCATGCCGCTTAGCCTCCCTCGTCAGGCCCGACAAGGTCGTCTCTCTTGTCGGCAACATGCGACAAGCTCTGTACGAGTGCGCCGCTTCTATGCAAGTCTGCCGGGCAATCTCGGTGTCGGCAAGAACTTTGCCCCTTGGGCATTCACGTCCTTGAACATGAACTCGGCGGCTCAGGCAGATTGCAGCGACGAGGCCGTCGCACAGCTTCTCCGCGCAGTGGCTGCTGCAGCCGATGAGGCCATCCTTGAGCTGTGTGTGAAGGGGTGTCATCAGAGACAGTCCAAGAGGATTCTCAGCTCGAGCTTCTGGACATTTGCAAGCTGGCCGCTGCCCGAGTCAGCAACCTGTCACCCTGAGCTGAGCGATTTGTGCCTCTTTGTCCAGGCCGGACAAGCTCCTGAAACTGGTCCAGGACGCTCTGGGTTGGCGCCTGACTGCTCGTCATACCTCTCCGCTGCCTCGCAGGCGCAGCTCTGTCGACGGAGGCTAGCTCTTAGTTCTCTTATGCAGCACGATGTGACAGCCTAATCTGCCGTGGGAAGGCAAAGCAGGACCCTTCATCCACTGCAGCAGCGGACGTTGCTGCTGGCACGCAGGCACCACGTGAACCAACGCTGTTCAAGAGCTGGTGTCCTGTCTGCATCACAGGATTCGGCTACATCTCAAGAAGAGAGTCGTGGCAAAGAAAACAGGCACTCTTGTAGCGACTATGGACAAGGCTCATTCATGACACGTTCGCACCCAGGACCGATGAGCGTGAGCCTCCCAGTCTTCACCCAGCTGAGGGGCTTGTTGAGAGTTTCCATGATAGAAAATGAACACCATGCCAACTGTCGACACAAAGTTGAAACTGATTGCACAAGTAAGGCCAATGAGTGCAGTATCGCTCATGTCTCGGCCCTCCAAGCGCGCATGATACCTACCCCCCACCGCTCTTTCAGACAATGGCACGCAGTCCAAGTCGCAAATCAGTGTTGCCACTCCCCAGCTTGTGGGCCACTGCAATCAGCTAGAAGTTGAAGCATGCACGTGGATGAACAATTCGGAGACAACGCAACGGACGCAGCGACACAGAAGCCAAGATGAAGATGTTACATCAATGGTTCAGATCTTGCTGAACGAAATGAAGAGGTTCTAGTTGGAACTCTTTTTCAGAGTCACTGCACTTTGCTGCATGTAAGCGAGGTGTGGTCACCGGGAGCAAGAGCACGAAAGCGCTGCGGTGCAAGCTGGAGGATTGCTGGTGAGGGCGCAAAGGTGAGCGATTAGAGTCAACCAGGATGGTGCAGACTGCATCATGTTTGGGGTAGCGAGCATTCCGTTTTGCCAGGAGGAGCATGCCAGGCAGGTCGCGCAGCAGACAGGGTTGTTGGATTCTGACAGGGGCAAGCCTTCGCACAACAGTCGACTCGATGTGTGCAACTGTGTGTAGCATCGCTCTCCTTGAGCCGATTCTTTATGTTGCAGCTTCCTGCGCGGATTATGTGACTGTCTTCACCCTTGAGTCGAGACCCGCTTGCGTTCAAGTTTGGAGGCTGAGCGCCGACCTGCAGAAACTGCAGTTGCACAGGCACCTTTGCTCTGAGCAGCTCGAGATTTCATTCGTCTCGCCTTGGCCCGTGCTCTTTTGCCTTTGCACGCTCGCAGGTCTCGCGTGCTTCTTGCGAAGAGCATGCTCAACCAACTGCCGTGAGCATGTCGATTTTTCTGCACGGCAAGCCTGCATGCATTGAAGACTTGCACCTGATAATTCATATCTCTAGCTTAGGCTGACGCTACCAAGGCGGCAGCCTGTTATAGGAGTCCAGCCGACCGGTACATTGGTTCCCCACGTGCCAATGCCGTGGGAACCATTGTCTACGAGCCGGACGCCACACCGGAACCAGTGCCTCAAAACTGAAATTCAGTCATGGCCTCCTTCCTGGAACGGCCCGGCTCGCGCATACTTGTGGCACTGCATCAAGTAGCATGTCTTTCCACCGGAAGCAAGCCAGCATTTGTTGACATCAACTATTTGTTAACTCCCGTTTGCCCTACACCGTATTGCTTGAGATTTCTTGAAATGGAACCGTGTGCAGATCTTGGTTTTGGTTTGGGCTATGCCCGGCTTGCCTGGACATCTCTTATCCACTGCGTGCAGTACTTTCCAGGAGAACTGCAGGGGCCCGAGGGCGCTCCAGAAAAGATCGATGGAAAGACCATTGAACGACATCTCTCTGCAGAGCCCTTGAAGGTTCAGCTCCCAGATTTGGTTACCAGAGCTTTGCTCATGCAACTCGGGCTTCTTCTGAAGGGCTCGTAGAGTTCAAAGAGCTCTGAGTTGTGTCTGACTCACAGGCGCGGCCGAATATGGCTGACCGCAGCGAAATGCCCTTCTGCGATAAACAACTGAGAGAATCGGTCCGACGAGGGTGCTTGCTGGAATATTTCAAGCCCTAAGCTTTGGACCCGGCGGGTTTCGTCGTTGGACTATCATCGATTGTTATCTTTCTCCTCCTCTCCCTCTCTATACTCTTTTCCGTCTCTCCCGCTCCCTCTCTCCCCTCCTCTCTTTCTCTCTTTCTCTTTCTTTCTCTCTTATCGAAGCCGTTGGCACCAGACTAAAATGCCAAATTGACAGAGACAGCCGTAGCTCATTGTGAACCAAAGCATCACACAGATGATTCTGGAGCTGCTCTTGAAGCTGATGGATGAGGCCACGGCATGTGGATGGTGCAGCATTCCTGACAAATCCAAACACATGATTTGCTTGGGCTTTGCTCTCTGAGTCCATGATCGAGTACTGCAGCGTGCCTTTGTCTGCAACGGTCAGAGACGCAGATGCCAAAGCCTTGGTGCCTGCAGAGCAGATCTAAGGCATCTTTCCAAGAGGAGCTGCACGAACTCTGGGCCAAAACCGTAGGTGCTGCCGCGAAGCAGGCCGGCCACTGTTCGTTCTCGAATCGTGCGGAGGATGCACGATGTGTTGAAATATCAGGCAGCAAGACAAGAGCTACTGTTGAAGTATTTGCGCCGCAGCTGCACAGAGAAGGTGTGTGTGCAAGGCGACAGCACTCGTGTAAACTGAGGTGCCCACTTGTGACGAGGCGACGTTGCATGCATGCTGCAGTGTTTACAAGCTACGTCCGTGGCACCAGGTATGGATTCGACCCCACGTGGGAGGGAGCAGCTTGGTGGAGTCTGGAGCACCGGAAGCGGGTGCGGTAATAGCGTACCTGCCCTGCAAACAGAAGCCAAGGTGGTGCAGAGCCAGCAAAGTGCAGGCCCTTGGGTAGCGGACGAGGATGTCATTGCAGCTCAGCAGAATGGCATTACCTCAAAGATTTCTGGCCAGAGAGGCGAGGGCAAAACGCCAGCCACGCCAAGGCCAAGTACAAGCTCCAGAAGTGGCTTCTGGACCCGGGGCTTCAGGAGCCTTTGGCGAAAGGTACGCAAATCCGACATGAGAGAGCCCCAAGCATAGGTGAGAAAGTTGCCTGGGACGCACGACAAGCAGTTGCACAAGGCGATCCGAGAGCTCTGCCAGGACTTGCACATCCGACACGCATCCTCCGAGAAGAGCCGTGACTAGAGGGTTCATCTGCAGTTTTATTGGTCCCTATTTCCAGGAGATCGAAAGAAAGAGTGGCCGACCCTCCTTGGCTGCTCCGTTATGTAGCGCTCGGCATGCGACGCCGGCGTGCCAGCTGAAGGAGGTGCCAGAGAGAGACAAAGAGTGCTGCGCCCTCGACCCTCAAGCCTGCTGAAAGAAAGAGCCGCGCCCCAACAGGGGCCTCGCTCTTCGTGCCCGTTGAGAGAGCGTAGCCCGCAAAGCTTGTGGCCTTTCGAGATGTAGATGATTAACTAAGTAGCTCCTGCTTGTGTGGTATCACAAACTGCCAAGCAAACCAACATGAACCAAAGTGCCAAGGTGTCAGTGCCTTGGGCACGGGTCTTTGCACCCTTGGTATGCGCAGTGATCCCGGACGTTCTCTCCAGCGAGGAGGTCCAGGCACTGAAGTCTTGGGGGATGCTGCTCGGCTCCTTCTGCACGTCGTTGTCGCGTGAGACTAAGATGCTTGCAGCTTTCTGAGGTCGCGGAGGGATTGGTCTTTGGCAAATGGGCATATGATCAGCCAGTTCGAGGATGGAGTTCTTGCCTACAAACTTTGGAGTCGAGTGTGCCATCTTGTCCCAGCTTTCAAGGGCCTCGGCGCAGTAGGCCTGAATCAGCACATGCGTTTCCTGAAGTACGGGAAGGGCCACTACTTTGCACCGCACCAAGATGGTGAGAATCGACACGGCCCCGCGCGATCTCTGCTTTCGGCGCTGGTGTACCTTTCTGGGATGGATCGAAGTGAGAACGGTGGTGGAACTCGATTTATTTCTCCCGAGTGCCCGGAAGTTGCGACCTTTGGCCGATGTGACTACGCCTGTGATCGCTGTGTGGATGCTCCTGTAACTGCCGGATCTGTGCTGCTCTTCGCACAAAGCGTGATCCATGCCGGCACTGAGCCCAAAGCCTCCGAGAAGTTTGTGACTCTGCAGAAAATTAGGCAGTCATAGGACCAAAATATCATGCATGTCAGACAAGAGCCGAGCTTGATCATAAGGTGATCCGGACCGATGTCATGTACCCCTTGGCACAGACTTGAGCCATGTGTTCATCATCTACGGTGAAGGCTAAGCACAGCTGCACGGCCCGACCTTCGACAGAATCGGACGACAGCTTCCCCCGCCGGCAATGTCACGGTGGCCTGCGGAACATTAGGTTTTCAGGAGCCGAAGATCTTTGCGAGCGCCTCCTGCGCCCTTGAGCGCACTGTGTGCAGAAGCACGAGGCCACGGGGCACCTGGAGAGCACTGTGAGGGCGCCGCGAGCAGCGCTGCAGCGCGTGGAGAGTGGTTGGGCAAGACGGCTGAACGTCTCCTTCTGCAATGTGCCGCACCAACCAGAACTGCCGTTTCACCGGTTTCACGACAGTTATGCCGGCGTGCCAGGTCTTCTGATTCCTCTCGCATGCCGGCTCTCACTGCAGGTCTCAGCCTCAAGCTCTTCATCCGGCCCGCCGGCATTTCCTCTGGAGCTGCTTTCTATGGATGAACTAGTGGCGTTGTGAAGAGTTGCTCCACGGAAAAAGCATGCATCGGATGATATCATCTACGGTCGCGGAGTTCAGAGAGTGCTTAGCATGCTGCGGAAAGCCATTACGTGAGCACTGTGGGCACCATGCGCTTGCTCAGATCACTTCTGGCCAATGAGCCTGATGTGAACAGAGGAAGTCCTAGGCCCCTAGGCTTCTCTTTCAAATCCCCGAAGATCGTGGTCTAGATTCTGCCAAAGCGATGCTGGCGGAGCAGTACCGCGATTTCATGGAAGCCACAACTGGGGTAACTGGGCAGTACTGTACTGTTTGATACTGTTTGTTCAGCTTGTTCCGCTTCCCTACTGCCGTAACGGGCGGGGTGGGATTGTGGGGCCGGTGTCTCGCAACAGAAGTGCCCCCACTCCAGTTCTGGCACCGGGCTTGCGGTCGTGCACAAGGTGGCGGAGCATCGAGATCTGCAAGTTCCGTCGCAACAAGGGCAGCGACTGCGCAACGAAGAACCAGAACTGACAAAATGCTTCGTGCTCACAAACGCTCACAGCTCGATTCGCACTCACGACAATCTGCTCACTTCCTCGGGGTCTGCCTCAGTTTCTGCATGGTTTCGAGAAGCAGCTCAACCATGCCGCTCATGACTCGCCACACGCAGCTTCCCGTCTTTCACAAATCAAGAGGAGCATTCTGAAGTCAAGCTTCACCAAGGCAGAGATCGGCCTAAGAGGAGCGCCCAATACGCATCTCCTGAAATCCTGGAAGGGTAGGGCCGATCCTCTGATGTTGACTCAGACTCTGCGAGATTCCTTACTTCATGCTATGCATCCCTGGCGCCTGCTATTCAGATTCAAAGCTCTGGTTTCCTGCCATCCGGCTAGTATGGCCATAGTTTCGCTACTCTTCTCGTTTTCAATTTTCTGCCTTTGTCTCGTCGTGCTCCGACGCTCCGAGCAGGGTGAGTGTGTTGATTGCAGCGGCTGATGGTTGGACACCTTGCTCATGTTGACGAACACTGACCAAAGTTTTGCTAGAGGCTACATTGTCACTCTGCCTGCGCCGCGCCGATGCAGTCCGCGAGTTGATGAGCCCGCCAAGGCACCGCTGCCATCAGTCACCGCACACGCGACTCCACGCTGTGAGCTGCGGCGCTCGACAGCTGCTACGGCTGCGAAAGTCAAAGAGATGTCCACTACGAGCGCGATGCATGCAACCGGTACTCAGTCATGGCCTTGGGCCGCGCATGGCACGCTGCGGGCAAGCTGAGAGTTGATAGCTCGCGAGGTCGGACCGACGGGCAGCCATGCTGGAGGCACTGGCAGGGCTGAACGACCAGCCTAGTCAGGCTCCGCACGAATATGAGCTGCCTGCGATGGACCCATCGGCAGCGCTGCAAACGTGCAGTGCGGCTGTTCTTACCTCTATGGCATATGCCAAAGCTGCGGCCTCAGGAAGGCTTCTTCGACGGAGTGAGCGTTGCAGTGCTTGCAGCAATGCTTGCAGCAATGCTTGCAGCAAAGGTCGCTTCTGGACGAACGCGTCGAAGCTCGCAACTCTTGCAGGATGCAGTTCGCCTGAGCAGCGGATCCAACTTTCTCCTCCAACGCGCGCTTGCAGCCTCGAGCACCTCAGCGCAGCTGAAGGCGTTCCTTCTGCTTGAGCCTTTGCCTTGCTTTTCCAGGTGCACCAAACCTTGAAGAAGCTCACAGCATCAGCTTCAGGACTCCGTATCACGTCCAGTATTCCTGTTGCTTGTGGCGTCAGAGCCGTTCGCATTGCGTGCTAAGCCACCGATGAATGTCGTCTAAGCTGAATTGTCCCTGCAAGGAGCGCCGTGCAAGCGGGCAGGCAATACTTTGACACAACACTGCCGCCCGTGCCCTGCAGCGGCCTTAGGCCAGTGCATCGCGATTCGATCTTCTGCATGCAAAGACTTGTATTCTGCCGAAGTCAAGGCTGGTGAAAGCTTGCACGAACACGTGATACCGACTTTCTGTAGAGACCCACCGCCATTTATGCTTAAACTACAAGCTGATGGCATCGTGACGATGCAGACGCAACGCTGCTCAATGATTCCATCGAAGTGCCTCCGCCACGCAAGTGGCGGTCTAGAACGTGTGCGTGCCTGCTTCTCCACAAAAGGGATCGTGCCATGGACTTTCTTGACCGAGCCGCTGGGATCGTGCCAATGCACTGCTCTCTTTCCTCTCGTTTTGGCTCCAGGGCAGCATGGAGCTACGGGCAGTCATTGGCATGAAACATCATAGACCATGACGTGTCCTGCACGTTGTTCTTGAGCAAGAATTTCGAGCAACAGAGGCAGGAGGCTACACCGTGCATGCATCTGTCGTGCTGTGAGCCAGCGTATGCGGTCGTTGCAAAATTCATCTCAAGGAGAAGTTCGAGCTGGGGATACTGTAGATACCCTAGGAAGCACTGTTGGATGCGAGCACTTACTCAAGACTACGTACAGCTTGCAGTTAGTTCTGCATGGAGACATGTTCGATGGATTCACCGAAGACCGGCGCAGTGATAGCCCACAATGGGCGCGTGCCGCGCTTCAGCATAAGCTGGTCCAGGCAGAGAGTGGAGCCGGGAAAGCATTGTAAAGACGTCCCAGGACAGCGACAACCTCGAGCTCGAGAAGGAGTTGGAGAAGGAGTTGCAGGAGCCGCTGTAGAGCCATGAGCCGCAAGGTAATTCCTGTGGTAGCTTGCAAGGACTTGGAGGCCGAAGTTCAGGTGCTGCAACATCGGCTAGACAAGCTGAAGCCTCTCGATACGAGGCTCGGCCGCAGGATTTGTTAGCCTTTCTTGCGTGTCTCAGCATGTCACTTCTGCCGTTTTCGTTTTGTGTTTCAGGCCTTCCATCGAAGCGCTACCCCTGGAACAGCTCTGCTTGCATCTGCCCGCGAAGGAGTTTGCCACTTTGTCTTCCACAGGTGTGGTCTTTCAAAACTGCCCCGCAGTTCCAACACGCTTCCTCCCGAGATGTTGACAGGTCAAGAACTCCAGCGTGTGCTGCAGCAGTCACGTGGCTGCAGGGTGAGGAAGAGACTTAAAGGCTAAAGACCTTCTGGAGATCCGGTGAATCCTGCAGGCTGCTCCCTCAGCTCTTGAAGGGGTTGGCCACGCTCCAAGCGAAGGCACGCTTGTTTGCGCGAAAAAAGAGAGCCACTCCTGGAGAGACGGAAGGCTGGCCGTCTGCTTCCGCTGGGTCTGACACCTCTGGCGCTTTGGCAGGTGGGGAAGGGCTAAATCATTAGTCCTCCGCGACAGAATCCCGACACCGCCTGGCAGTCGCTACGAGAGCCGGTGATTTCTGTGGACACTGCCTGCCCTGCATTGGGACGGGGGCTGCTGGCAACAGAGCTGCAGAAGGTTTGCGCTTGTTTAGCACGTGATTTGGTGTGAACTGTAGGGATGCCCCCACATCAACTCTGATTTACTGCAATGTAATGTGTAGAGTGTAGAGTAGCTCAACTAGGGTCCAACTAGCTCCTGCTGTCTGGTCGGAGGACCTGCAAAGCTTAAGATCAATAGTTTCGGGTGTCATTGCGCCACAGATACATGGGATATAGGCTTGCCGCCATGAGGTCCTGAACTTGTACCCTCTCCGCCTTCGGAGCGTGAATGTGCTGCGGTCGCGAAGCATGCACGGCAACATCCTGCAGCCGCATGAACTGGCCTGGAAGATGGGCAGCCAGCTGACTCCTCGGGTGCTCCGAGGGAAGCTCTCCTGCAGCATCGCACCCATCAGAGGACTTCCTTCTGCTCTGCTTCTTAGCAAAACCTCGCCACATCTCGCCACTCCATGTTTCACTTTGCCAGACGGCAAGAGACAACAAGATGCCAGGAGCAGCAGAGTCTGAGATGTCTATCCTTCTCTTGGATTCTGCAGTGCCCAAGCAGCCGTTGATCACGCTGAGCTGGGAATTACGTCCCGTCAGCCGCGGCTGCTACTACAACATTCGGGCATCCGTCCGCGAGGTGCATGTGTCTGTTGTCCACTTCCGTCTCGCTTATTTTTTTACATCCTTCAGTCGCAAGGTTGTGTCCACACGGTCGTCATGGGCATACCGTCAACACACTTGGAGCCTGGGAGATGGCACGCTGCGCGCCCGGCCATCGGAGAACGATCTTCGTGAGTATGCTTTAACCTACCACTTGGAGAGTCTCATCCGCAAGACGCTGAGCACTGCTGAGATGCAGCGGCCGCTCATGGACTAGATGAAGAAACGTGACACATCGTATTGTAGGGGCACAGATTTGCTTCTGTCAGAAATCTCCGCACAGACGAGCTGAAGAGGGTTGACAACTTCGCAGCTATGAGGCTGCTTCAGGGATAGAAGGGTTCGGACGTTGAGAACTTGCAGAAAAGAGACGTGCATGTTGCGCGCTAAGGATTGACTGGGCAATGGCGCGCTGTTGGATTCTGGTGCAAGACCGTCTTCAGGCCCGATGTCTCGGTCGCGTGCTTGCTTCATCTCTGCCTCGCCCTTCGACAGAAGCTGCCATGCAGGAACACTATGCAAAACTGTTCTAGTTGCATGAGCTGTGCAGGAGTTGTGCCTGGAATCGAGCTGTGGTGGAGCATCGCCGACGGCTGACGAGTTGCGCAGCATGGCAAGCATCTAGAAACAGCGCAGAGTTGGTGCCGAAGTGAATGACTTCGTAGCTTCGTTTTTGTTCATGCGATTTGGGTTCTGCAAGGCCTGCAGCTGTCGCCTGGAACAACTGCGAGCCTATCAGAGCTACTTCTGGGTTAGATGGTGTGGTCAGCACCTCAAAGCTTCACTGTACTGCAATGACCTGCTACACAGTTTTTTTGGAAGCCGAAGCCGGTGATACAGGATGTCGTGAAATCTCAGGTGCTTTAGAGACGGGATGTTTGTGAGTCGTGTGGGCGGTCACTCTACTGGTAGCGTTTGCTGCCGAAGGCAGGCAAACTCCTTTGCGCTGGGACCTGCTATGTACATAGATGTGAAATCATGTGCGTACGAGCCGGCCGCACTTGTACTAACACATGGCCGGCAACGGGTCGTGGCTAGCTTGTGAGGCCTATTTTGGCTTGCTTTTGAAGTGAATTACACTGCATGTGGCAGAGTCCAGACGACGGGGCTCTCTGAACTAGCAGCTTAGTAAAGTCTAGCATGCTTGCTACACGCAGCCCAGCTAGCGCTTGAGCAAGCATAAAAGAAAAACTTTGACCAACCATGCAGGCACATCCTGCAGTGTTGCCTTGAATGTGCTCGCAGTCTGGATGTCTTTTGCTGCAAAGGTTTCCTAGTTACTCGTTCAACATGAAGCAACGTCAAGAGCTGGACTTCAATTGAACTCGTATGCAAGTCCGTCAACATTCGAACACATTCTCGGAGCTCGGCTGCCGTTGCAAACAGTGCACGAAGGATGATGCCAGCCGCAGATTCAACGATTGTGAGCTCCTAGCTCAAAATGCACCTGTGCATGTGCTGAGAAGCAATGGAGCTGATCGTGAAGGAAGCTCGCAAAGTCTGGATTCCCAACCACCCTACGCACGGATACAGGCTGTGCCGCGTTTAGGGCACCAAGCAGTGCCACCAGTTCCGCTCGCAGGCCTGGGCAGGTGGATGACAACGCGGATGCAGGGGAGAATCTGCTGGTTGTTGATGCGGAGGGCAAGAAGTTCCAGGCAGGCAGCATTCTTTCGCCGGGGCCCATTTGATGCAGACTCTTGGCCAACACTGCTTCAATAGGTTCCCAAGGCGGAGGCCCTGGCAGTGGACCCAGCCTGCTTGACGGGCGTGGATGATCTGTTGACATTGGGCGACTTCAACGAACCTGCCCTGACCCCAGACCCAGACTTCAGCAGCAACGACACGGACCTGGAAAACAAACCTCACACAGCCGGCCAAGGCTCTCCTCCACAACATCCGAGTGCGATATGAGGAGGACCCTGAATGGACATGTCTCCACAGAGCAGGGCTGTGTGCAGTTCGCATCGGCCAAAAAGCATTTCGACAACATGTCCGGTCTTAAGGCAGAATGATTAATTAGTCTCCGTGCCAATGTTCCAAATATTCCAGCTGCACCGTATCTGATGAGGACAAGATCTACACGGGCATCGGGACACCGATCCTGATCTCTGTGAACCCCTATCAGAACATTCCGGGCCTTTACAGCGTGGAACGTATGCGCGAGTACAAGCGCTATGCTGCCAAAGCTCCCAGCCAGGTGCCTGACAAAGACGAGAGTTGCTCTCAGGTAGGTTTTTGAAGTCATTTGTATGACTTATTGTCATCATTGTTGCCATTAGAACTATTCCTGTCACTGTTGTTATTGCTACTATTGTTATTAATTATCACAGCAGTAGTAGTGGTAGTGGTAGTGGTAGCGTTAACAGTAGTGGTAGCGGTAGTGGTACTGGCACTGGTAGTGGAAGTGGTAGTGGTAGTGGTCGTGGTGGAGGTGGCGGCGGCGGTGGCGGTGGCGGTGGCGGTGGCGGTGGTGGTGGCGGTAGTAGTAGTAGTAGTAGTAGTAGTAGTAGTGGTAGTAGTAGTAGTAGTAGTAGTAGTAGTAGTAGTAGTCTGTTTCGCGGACGCCCCGAACAACATCTCCACACCCTGGCGCGCACACACCTTGCACCACTTCAAAAGCAAGCCCTCCTGCGCCGAGGTCTGGGCTTTAAGGGTGTTGGCGAGCCCCTCCCACATACAGCTGGCATCTTTGTTTTTGATGTTTATAAGATGTTGTGCTTCAGGTTTTAGGAGATTTTTAGGAGTGTTAAGACCTTCTTGGCAGCACCTGCGTTTCGCACGGCATTTACAGCGTTTTCGTACTATCCGACCACCTGTGGTTTAGCAGTTTCTTCCACGTCGAGTTTGCAACTCCAGCTGCCGTCGCAGTTTTGGGGCCGGAGCCTCTGCAACTTCACCGGCTGTGACAAGCGTAGTTGGTAGGGTGGGGTGGCTACTAGTAGTAGTAGTAGTAGTAGTAGTAGTACTAGTACTAGTAGTACTCACTCACTCACGATCGCCATATCGTCCAGGTCGATACGTTGCGGGGACAGGCCCCAAGCCCGGCGAATCGGGTTCGCGCCATTGTTTAACGGCTCCACTGGACAACAAATGTTTGAAAAAGCACAAAGCAAAGCTCTCACCTCTGAAAGAGTGTGGCCGCACGGAAAAATATGAACATACAGCTAATCCATCTCTTCAAGATCTATCACCGGCTTCAGGTCCTGGACAGGCTTTACAGGCTGCACCGACGATACCTCGCTCGCCTCACTTGTCCCTCTGTGCTCAGAAGCCATTGCTGATACTGGATTCGGCAGTGGATGTCTGGAGCTCCAGCGAGAAGCCCTTGCTGATACTCGATCACCAGCTTCATCCAAAGTAGCCCTTCCATCGCCATCATCTCCATCGTTATCGTTATCAGCAGCTTCCCCAGCATCAGTCATTGCCATGGGAGCAGGCCAGGCGGTGTTCCAGGCCGTGGGTACTACCAATGCCCCAGTTCCAGCTACCGAAGTCGCCGTGGTGGCCGGTGGGACCGTAGCCCCTGTAGCGCCTGTAGCCCCTGTGGTCCCTGCAGGATAGGTTACGCCACGTCTGTTTTGACAGCGCACCGAGTGTAAGGTGCCCCCAGAGTCCGCGCAATAGGAGCAGCAGTATGAGTAGGTACCCGTAGTAACCCTAGCACACCCCGATGTACAACAAGGGAAAAAGCGATTCCCAACTGCAGCTGGTGCCTCATGAACACTTGCCCGATCACGACGCTGCACATCACGACAACGTCCCGAATGCCTTGCCCCAAAGGTCCTCTTGCATTCCGCGCAGCAGTGTCGATGGCCATTCTCGCGAAAGCTGACATGACATCCCCTAGTCTGGCAGATTCGACGAACTGCAGTTTGCTGTGCAGTCGCACTCATCATCTCCAGCGATAAGGCCGAAGCGCAGGCGCTGGGTGCAGCAGACATGGGAGGCCTCAGCACACTGCACACTGCACTCTACACAAGCAAGGGAGGGTGGGGTGGAGGGAGGTCGAAGCGGCACAGTGCAACTTTTCTTGGTGAGCACTCGACCAGATCCCCTGTGGTCGGACTTTGTCGTTGCGGAATTTCACAAAAGCGAGCTATCCAGTGGCTTCCGGCGGTGCATGGCTGAGGGAATTACTGGGAGGCCCTAGATCTTAAAGGGGTCAACCAAGAAAGAGGTGGAGGGGGAGGGTGCCCAAGAGGTCCGGAGGCCTAGCTAGGGAGAACGAAGCCAAGCTCTTTGGCTTGTGTCTGTGCACTTGCATGGCTTGACACACAGTAAGCAATCAGCATAAGTCGATTCCCTCCAGTCCATGGACATGTGGAGTGCATGGCAGTCTTTCCAGGAAAGACAATGCCCTGCGCACTGGTAGGGTGGACCTCTCCTGCATACAGAGTATCACCGACTTCTACAAAGTCACAGCCTTGTGGATGTGCAATCCAAAGACCTCCAGCATCATGATGACTGAGCCCCAAGGCAAGGCTATCACCCGACCAATTTCCCATGTCAGTATGCGGCTGGCACAGGTTATCCAGGGTAATAGTGAGGCTGCTCCACCGAAGGCCCGGACAAATTGCCAAAACAAGCTGATCGATCAGCCTGCAGACATTAAGATGTCCACCGGTTTGGCGGGTAAGGCCATGTGTGCCTCTCTTCGCCATAAGCCCCAACGTGCAGATGAAGCCTTTGGAGAACTTGCGAGTGTCCCTGTCAAAGGGAAGCTTCGGCACGACAGATCGCACAGAGGCCCAGATAGAGCCACTGCCTTCCGCCAGACAATGCCAGGCAAGCTGCTCGGCCTCCGTAGCCTTCGGGCTAAGCGAGCCAACCGGCTTGGGAAAGTCAACCACCACTTCACAGTTGAGGTGCCTGTCGAGAGTCGCAGCATATTGCACCATGGCCTCATAGGACTCCGGCTCCAGATGCTTGTATGCAAGCTCCAGGATGTCGTTCCGGCTAAACATTGTGATCACCGGTGGACATTGGTGACCCACATAGACACCACACAGGGTCCGATATGCCTGTAGCAGCAGGGACTCCTCCAGTGCAACATTGTAGACATGGCAGGGGAGAGGAACCTGCATGCTGTCCTGGGAAGCTACACTGCCGAAAAAGAGCCAGGCTGCACAGCGCCGTTATGCTCGGCTCACGGTGTCGCAGAGTGGCTGAACACACGTAGGCTGAGTGGCTGGCCGGCACAAGGATCAGGGATCCGGCACGTATGCCCTAGCAATCCCAAGAGGCCGAGGCTCCGCACGCCTCAACCTCTGGCTTGAAGAGAGAGAAGCTGCTGTATGCACAGACCACTGTACAGCGGGACACAGGAATGCTTGCGTTGAAGAGAGCAGCAAGAACATGCAATTGCAAAACGCGTGACTACGGGCTGTTTGCACGGCTGAGGCCGACAGCTCATAGTCGTGGCTGCTCGTCGGCAGCAGGGCTTGCATCAAACACGCATCGGTGTTCAGCGGCAGTGGAGTTCATCCCCACGTACCAGGCCAATTAAATACGCATTGTGTAAAATGTCGTTGAGCTCCGCCGAGGCGGCACGTTTCGGCACAATGCCATCATTACAGACATAGAACTGCCATGCACCTGCAAGATCATGTGTGCTAGGCATGCTTAGAGCAGCTTGATAGTGACCCCCATGCGGTGAAACCCCATGGTGGTATATGACAAAAGCAACTCGAAACTGGCGAGATAGCAGTTCCAGACTGTCTGGGACAGCAAACACGAGAACAGCGAGTGCCTCCCCCGGCTTTACATGCACTGGTGCAGAGTTCTTGGTTGGCACACCTCCAGGACTAGAGCAACGCTTAAGCTGCAGAATTACAAGCCCCGAATGTGATTCCAGCGCATGCACAGCTGGCTGGGAGGACCAAGCATCAATCAAATCTTGCATGGTAGTAGCAGTAGTAGTAGTAGTAGTAGTAGTAGTAGTAGGAGCAGCAGCAGCAGCAGCAGCAGCGGCAGCAGCAGGAGTAGTAGGAGTAGTAGTAGTAGTAGTAGTAGTAGTAGTACTAGTAGTAGTAGTAGTAGTAGTAGTACTAGTGTGGTGGTAGTAGTAGTAGTAGCAGCAGTAGCAGTGGTAGGAGTAGGAGTAGGAGTCGTCGTAGTAGTAGTCGTAGCAAGAGTAAGTGTCCCGGCCCGAATCGTTTTTCTGCATTTGGGGCTCTTTTCAGCTGCGCAATAGACTGTGCCGCGAGCTATCTGCATTTCTGCTAAGGGGCCTTAGGGCCGGGAAATGCCGCGCTCCTTTTAGGGTTCAGGTTTCGCATTTAGGGTTTCGGGTTTCGCACCCACCCACTCCTTTTAGGGTTCAGGGTTTCGCACCCACCCTCTAGGGTTCAGGGTTTCGCACCCACCCACTCCTTTCAGGGTTCAGGGTTTCGCATTTAGGGAAATTTAGGGTTTAGGGTTTCGCATTCACCCACTCTTTTTAGGGTTCAGGGTTTCGCACCCACCCATTCCTTTTAGGGTTCAGGGTTTCGCACCCACCCACTCCTTTAGGGTTCAGGGTTTCACATTTAGGGTTTAGGGTTTCGCACGCACTCACTCCTTTTCGGGTTGAGGGTTTGGCAGCCACCCACTCGTTTTAGAGTTCAGGGCTTCGCACCCACCCACTCTGCTTAGGGTTCAGGGTTTCGCACCCACCCACTCCTTTTAGGATTCAGGGTTTCGCACCCACGCACCCCGAAAGGAAGACCCAAATCCCAAGAATCATCATCGTCATCATCATCATCATCAAACTCACCATCATCATCATCATCAGAGTAGGTGCACCTTGCTCACGAGTAGGTGCGCGGCCACAAGAACATGCAAAAATGCAAATCAGCGCGCAATCCTCGAGACAGTTGTCACTTTCAGGGACGAGTTGCTCCCGCGCTGCAAGAACAAGCAAAAATGCAAAACAGCATGCACGCAGAATCCTCGAGACAGTTGTCATTTTCGGACGCGAGTTGCTCGCGCGCGAAACTGGGGCCTCCATGGCCATCCTGCGACCATGTGCCGAATAGTACGCGCCTGCCAGCTAAACAAGGCCCCGCCCAGCTCCGCAGAGCAGGTGCGCGGGCAAACCGACCATTTTGCGCGTAATAGTAATAGTTGCGAGAGTAGTAGCAGCAGTCGTCGTCGTCGTAGTAGTCGTGGTAGTCGTAGTCGTTGTCGTAGTAGTATTCTCATTCTTTTTTCGTTGGGACCAGTCAGTTCTTCTAGCATGACAGATTCCCTACGGGAGGTAGCCGGAGGTGGACTGCCCGTTCACCTCTACTCCGTTGCTGATGCAGCATATCGTGTATCTCGACTGAGTCGCTGCAATTCGCAGAAGGTTCTGAGGCTTCCAGGCAGCTCGAAGGTACTTGGCTTTGTGAGTGAAAATCCAAGGCAATGCTCCAGGAAAAGGCCAGCCAATCCATTATCATCTCAGGCCAGTGGCAAGATCATCTTGATACGTCGCTGCTCCTCCTTGGTGCTTCTGCCGGCCTGATCGAATTACGCGAATATTACAAGCACAGCGAAGCGTAGGACCCGCCAGACCTGAAGTGATGGCAAAGCCACCGCCGCAACCACAACTATGGCATGGTGGCATTTAAGTGCAGAGGCATCCTCAGCTTGTGCCCGACTGGGCCGGCTGCGCAACCAGACTCAGCATGTAGCCACTGTTTTGGACTTGGAACGAGCAGCTGGCGGCAATCACACAGGTTGAGAACCGATAAACCTCAGCGAGTTCAGCATTACACAACATCCAGACAACATCACTGCCTGCTTGCAGCACACGCACTTACCCACGGAAAGGGCGACATGAGTTGACCGGGTTGTTTGCTTGGCAGGTGAAAGTGGAGCAGGCAAGACAGAGGCGACGAAGCGCATGCTCGCGTATTTGGCCGAGCTGCAGTCTTCAAGGCCGCATGACACAGGACTTGAATTTGTAGCCCAGTCATGCCCAGTCACAAGTCTCTCTGATCCGGCGAGCAGGATTTTGCATTGAGCCTCTGATGCACCCAGCAATGCAGGAGAAAGAACCCGTTCAGTCGAGTCACAAGTCCTCGATGCCAATCCGGTCTTGGAAGCGTTTGGCAATGCCAAGACGGTTGCGGAACTCAGAATTTGTGTTGGTTTGGAGCACGATTGAAGGTTCAGTGTGCTAGCATGCTTTAGATCTCAGGTGAGGAACGACAACTCCTCCAGATTTGGCAAGTTCATAGAAGTGGAGTTTGACTCAGCCGGCAAACTGCTGAGCGCACAGAATCTTGACCAATGTGATATCTTGACTCCGGCGAGTATTCTTGCAGGCTTTCAAGCTTTGCGCAACCCTAAGATGGAAAGCCGCTCTGAGGATTTCTAACTACTTGTTGGAGAAGTGCCGCATCGTAACGCAACAGCCCGAGGACCGGGATGACCAGGATTGACATAGCAGCACATGTTGAACTGCCAGGTGTCACAGTTTTTTTCGGAAGTATCGGCCCTCAACCAAATAGTCTGCAACATATCTATGGTGCTCGCAGCTGCCTCGTTTGGTTACGTGTGTTGCCAGCAAAATAGCGCAGCTGAGTGACGAGTGCACCTGTTCTTGCTGTCGTGAGGAACGCAATTATCACATATTCTACCAGCTGTGCGCCGCTGCTGCTCGGAAGGCCATTGTCTTTACTGATTGAATGCGCAGCGCCGTGCCGTACGCTTCGAGCCGTGTTTCGGCGTACGGTAGCGTCTGATAGCTACTCCTAAGCTACCGCTTGGGTTTCTTTGAGATGGCGTAGCCTCTTGACCGCCGAAACCAGCTCTCGGCCTTGTTGGCAGGGTGAAGATCTTCCGGAAGGGCTGCAGCTCCATGCAGCCGACGACTTTGAGTATAGCAAGGTTTGCTTGTCTATTCCGGGCGTGGATGATGCCGCAGAGTTCGCCAGTGTCCTGGAGTGCATGGTCAGCCTCGGCTTCTCCAAAGAGGAGCGCGACACCATCTTCAAAATTATTGCCGCTGTGCTCCATCTTGGGGAAGCCCAGTTTACGCACTGCGTCCGAGAAGGGCAGGATGGGATCTCCGTGGCAGATGATGCTTGCCTGCATGGGGCTTGAAACCAAGCTACACAGCTAATCCATGCCGCCTCAGCTAAACCTCAGCTGAACTTGATGGAAGATGCGGCACATAGCTTCGCCGAGGGTGTGTTGTAACCCTGCAGTCATCATGGTTGGCCGCGCAAAAGCTTGCAGGACAGATCTGTTTCTTTGGCATGTGAGTTGCTGGGCCTCCCTATAGAGCAGATGCAAGATGTCTTGGAGCACAAGACCTTGGAGGACGGCCACCTGTTGGGATGTTTTCGTTATCTGGTGTGTTGCCTAGATCTCAGAGTCTCTTGTCAAAACATCATGTGACTACATGGTTACCCTCAGTTAGGACCCACTGACAAGGAAGATCATCCAAATGCCGCACCTTGCCAAAGAAGTGCCAGCAAGACTTTACTTCAGTTCGAGCAATCCCGGTTGCTGAGGCAAGATGCGGCATCAGCATCGTTTACTCGGCACTCGATGGCCAAGGTGATCTACGCTCGCTTGTTCGACTGGCTTGTCTGGCGCATCAACGAGAGCATCTGCAACAAAGGATCGCAGAAAGATATCCGCAAGATTGGCTTGCTGGACATTTACGGGTTTGAAGTGTTTGACTGGCGTCCCATCTGCATACAACAAGAGGTTACCTTTCAAGATGTTTCCGGGGTGTTGTTTCGCTTTCGTGACGATTTGCGACTGCGCTGTCAGGAATTCGTTCGAACAGCTTTGCATCAACTTTGCTAACGAGAAGCTGCAGCAGCATTTCAACATGCACATGTTTACCCTTGAGCAGCGGTTGTACACCTCCGAAGGAATCACATGGGATCATATACAGTACCAGAACAACCAGCACATTATTGACACCCTCGAGCGCAAGCCACTTGGGCTCTTCTGCCTTATCGATTCAGAGTGCTTAATGCGCTCAGCCACCGATGCCACGCTTCTTTCCAAGATTCAAAACTCTTACAAGAACTCCAATGTCATCTCAAAGGCATCGAGGTTTGCGACAACAGAGTTCAAGATTTCTCATTATGCGGGGGACGTAACCTACAGTGTGGACACATTCCTTGAGAAGAACACGGACAAGCTTCATGCTGATGTGGTGACCTTGTTCAAAGAGTCGAAGCTGGAAATGGTGAAGAGACTCTTCACCGACAATCGCTTTTCACCTGAAACCAAGCCAGCTGCAAGTGGTGCGCGGCCACTGCGTCGTCAAAGTACACGCACTGGTACCGACGACCAGCGCCGCGAGCGGCAGAATGTGACTGTCAGCATGATGTTTCGGGAGCAGCTGGATCGGCTTGTCGAGGATCTCAACAAGACGAACCCCCGCTATGTCAGGTGCATCAAGCCGAATGCTCTCAAGCAGCCAAACGAACTGGACTCCTTGGATGTACTGAGGCAGCTGAGATGCGCGGGCATGCTGGAGTCGATTCGCATTCGCAGAGCAGGCTATGCAGTGCGCAGGCCGTTTAAGGAGTTTTTCTCTAGATTCCGGATCCTGGCACCACACTTAGTAGCCACAGGGGCTGACCCTGACTACAGAAGCCTGTGCCAGCGCCTTGTGGCAGAGGTCGAAGAGCGACTAGGCAAACAAGGTGTGGCCTTAGAGGAGAAGTCGTGGCAGATGGGCCAGACGCGTGTCTTCATGAAGGAAGACCTTGAGAGACGCATGGAGCAGATGATCGTGGAGTCTGCCAAACGACAGGTGCAAACAATTCAACGATGCTGGCGAGGTTTTGCAGACAGACGGAGGTTCCGCGTATGGCGTAGTGCAGCACTCCAGTTCCAGGCGGCTGCTCGCACAGTCATCAGGGTCCGCAGCTTCCAGAGGATTCGAACGGCAGCACTGGACGTCCAAGCCTCCATGAAGACAGTGCTGGCCAAGGCACGTCTGCAGAGGCAGAAGGAAGCCTCCATCGAGATCCAGGCAGCTCTACGAACAGTTGGGGCACTCGCGCAGCTGGAGCAGCTGAAGCGCCAGGCCGCGGCCGAAGCCGCAGCCGCCGAGGCGGCGGCGATGCAAGCGTCCGCAGCCCAGTCAGCTGCTGCTCAGGCGGCCGCCGCCCAGGCGGCTGCTGAGGCCGCAGCCCAGGCCCAGGCAGCTGCGGCTGCGGCGGCAAAGCCAGCGGCCGTGGAGGAGTTCTTTGCAGACCCGGCCAACGTGCGAGTGTCTGCAGATGGGGAGCGTTCCCCGATGTCCAAGCAGGGAGCGCTCCCTGAGGGACAGCGGAACGAGACGAAAGATGAAACTCCGCCTTCGGGCGCTTTCGCAGGGGATCTGGAGTTGAGCGTGCGAAAGCTGGAAGCATCGCCAAAGACGGGCCTCCCGCCTGAATGGATGCCCTCTGCAACTTGTAATTATGCCTCTTATCCACCCATGTTGTGGACTTCTTGGGGGTACCTGATTTCAGATCGCACCCAAAGCCGAGAGCTCGAAACTTAGGCCTCGGCACTGTGAATTTGGATGCCAGCATCCGAAATGCGGCGCTCAACCTCGGCGGAGGAGGCGCTCTGGACTCGCCCGGGCCCAAGACCAGCACTTCAGTTGTTGGTTGGTTAAATTTTCACGGCTTCTAGCACGGCGCTGTCATCAGGTTGCGGTCGGAACTCATGGCGAGACTCGAGGGAGGTGCACGGGAAGGAGGCACTCTCGAGAAAGAAAGTAGCAGTTGCCTGAAGCACCCTCACTGTACCTGAAGGTATTGATCCTTCGCACCCACTCAGCAGCTCGCTGCGACATGCAGACGGCCTGCCTTTGAAGGGCCAACTCGTCACGAATGGCAAGTCCTCGCTACAAGGTCTTCCGGATGAGGAGGACGTTTAGCTTGATTTGCTTAACTTGTGAGACGTGGCTCGCATTCGGCAGGATTTCCCGCTGAGGAAAACCATCATGAATCAGCGGAAAATCATGGAACAGCTGCAGCAGCAGTTCAAGGAAGCACTCGTGGTGAAGCCGGGAGAAGAGGAGCTGAAGCCTCTCGAGGATGGCGAGGCGACCTTCTGACTTCTACTGTAAGAGGCACCACTGTGTCCTGCAACCCTTTTGGAAGCAGGCCAGCCAGGAGCAGATGCAGCAGCTCCAGGACCCCTTGGTCCCACAAAGCCTCTGATAAGCGAAGCAGCTTTCTTCACCTTTGGCTGGGAAGGAGGAAATCAAGAAGCTCCGCAGCACTATCGGAACACTCAAGGCGAGCCTCAGCAGTTGCCAGCAACAAGAAGCAGCGCGGGCGTCGGAAGCAAGCGAGTACCTGGAGAAGGCCCCCCATCCTGAACCAGCCTCTGCACTGTTTCCTCCGCTTGCCTTCGCCTCGCTCGCCTCGCTCGCCTCGCTCGCCTCGCTCGCCTCGCTCGCCTCGCTCGCCTCGCTCGCCTCGCCGCTTGGCAGGTTGGTTTGCTCTCCGCCCAGTTGGAGGACATTCACCGCACGCACAGGGAGGAGCTGAGCAACGAGCGGAAGCGGAGCCAGGCCTGGCTCTCTGCCTGACATCTCCCTAAGTCTCCTCTTCTCTTCCCTGAAACGAGGAGCTCCGAGGAGAGGTCGAGAGGCTCAGCAGGAGCTTGCAAGACACGCAAGGCTCGGCTCCGCTCCGTTGCTCTCCGACTCCCGGGTGTCTCACTGCACTGTTCTCCAAAAGGAGAGGCGGCTTTGTGGCGGTCAGAAGCACAGCAGGCCACGGTCAGCTTCACCGCCGAGAAGGAGCTGCCAGAGCTGCCAGCAGCGGTGAGAAGCCACTGACATCCCGTCCAATTTCAGAGCCCTGAAGCATGGAATTCTTGAGTGTTTGGCGCTGGTGCTGGTTTCACTGGATCCGAAGTCCAGCGCAAGAGCCGAATAATGGTTCGTTCAGCTTCAAGATGAGCTCATACCCAGGGTCGAAGACGGTCGCAGGAGCGACTGGAAGAGCTGGAGCGGAGTCGCAAGGACTTCGTCTTGCAGGACTCCGGCCAGTCTGGGAATGACGTGTGCTCCTCCCGGCAGCTGTCGGCTCTGAAGGAAACCCAAGCGAATTGGAGAGAGGAGAAAGACAGGCACTAAAAATGAAGTGGCCTTCTCCAGCTTGGAGAGAAGATGCAGTCCAGGTTACTGCGAGATCTACAGGCCAAAGACCGGGAGCTGTATGGTCTGAAGCAGGCCTGGCACGGCACTACGTAGGCTTCTCTGCAATGTTCACTCCACGAGGCCCTTGACAACATTGGCTCGAGCCGTGCCCCACTTGAGGAGCTCCAGAGGTGGGGACGCGCGATGGATGTTGCAGAGTCGCAGAATCGACTGGCTCTGAGGTGGAAGGCAGAGGCTCAGAGACTACAAAAGCAGGTGGACCAGGCCCATGACATGATGGGCCGATCGGATTGATGTACAAACCAGCAAGCCTCCACCAGTGCCGTTCGGTTGCCACAGGCGAAGCGGACTTCGAGAGAGTACGAGTCCGTGCGGGACTCGGTCAGAGCATTGTGCCGGGAGCGTAGCAGTGTGCTCCGTTCCATTTCTCTGCTTCAACAAGCCTCATTAGCCCACTTTGCTAGGGCTTGCTTGAAGTGTCTCTTTCGATATTCTGAAGTTGCAGTTAACATAACATTAATGTGTCATGGAAGACGTTTTCACAACTTGTCTGACATCGCTATCATCTGTTCTGCTCTTGGAACTGGTTCTCTTTCTATGCTACCGATTCCTGCAGAGGATTCGATTTTGTGGTGCTCCATCACTCGGTGAAATCTCGGTTGAACCCGCCCTAGGCCTTGTTTGCTGCCTCAAACTTCTTTTTATGGTTTGCTGCATTGCTTGCTAAGCAATGTGCTTGCCAAATTTCTAGCACAGACGTTGTCTTATTGAAATCTCCTTGTCAAGCCTTCGCGTTCTCAAGGCTGTTGGGCATCTGCAAAATGCTGCTGCGCTCTTGGTAAATGATGGCCCTGTACCGGACTCGGTGGCTGATGTGCTCGCGACCGTGAGGCCTCCAGTCAAGGTGGCGAAAGACAGGCCCTAGAAATACGCCGTCTTCTCAGAGCTGTGTTGCAATCCGTCGAAGCTTGCATACTGCAAAATAACTTGCGATGAATGGCGTGTTCCCGGCGCCTGTTCTACCACCTGTGTGCGTGACGGCCTTGGAATGCAGCTGCTCTGAGGAGTCAAGACCCTGCAGTCTCAGACTCAGCGTCTTCGTCATTTGCAGCCAGCCGCCGCTTATGCGAATTGAGGAAGAATGCAGCTCGCAATTGCCAGGCAGAACTCGGAAAAGCAGGCTCAAGAGCTCAAGAAGATGGAGCTTGAGAAGAAGGATCTGAAGGCGGCCTCGACCCGGCTCTTGGCACCACTCCTCTCTGCTTGTTAAAAGGAGCAGATGGAAAGTATCCGGACCGCCTCTGAGTACTTTCAGAGCCAGTACAAGGCCGGCAAAGGTGGAAACCGTCGAGAGATGAGTTGCTTTGTGATCCGTCGAGAGGCCACCTACGCCGAGTTGCAAAAGCAGAAGGCCAAAGCCGCCGAAGTCACGGAAGGTCCGGGGCCAAGTAGCGGCTCGGCGGGTGGCGGACCAGAGATCCCAGGCTTACAAGGACGCCTCCGTGAACTGCAAGCTGAAGTGGGATCTTTGCAAGGCTCCCTGGCCTTTCGTCGAGCGAGTGTTGAGTTGCAAACGGTCGCTGGAACAGGCCGATCCGCAACTCGGTAGCACGAGGAGTTGAGTTTTGACTCCGGCCTGATGTGCGACCAGCTATTGACGAACTCTCTCTCCAGGCTGGTGGCAAAAGTGTTATTTCTGTGGAGGCCAGGCTCACTACCGAGTAAAGACGTCTCACACACAGATACCACCCCACTTGGTTCGATCCGGTTCAGGCAAGTCCAAGCTTACGCCAAGCCCGGGAGGCGTCGCCTTTGTAGTTTCTTGTGCGTGAGTTTTGCAAAAACACCTGACTGTTAGAGTCATTAGAGTACATCCTGTCACGTTGCCGGTACAGCATGCAGCTGGAGGGCGGCGGAATAAGATCTGTCAGCTGCGTCAAGTGTCTTACGAATTCGAGCGTGCTAGGAGAGGACGCAGCCCGAAATGGGCAGAGCTTCCTTGCCCGATACTTAGATTTGCCATCGACAACATGCACATGATCCCACAGACTGGGGCGTGGCGGTATGGTCTGATGCTTGAGGCATCTAACTGCGGGTGTTGCACCCTGTCTCTTGCGCCCAATGAGGCTTTCCGAGCTCAACCTGAGTGGTCAATTCAGGTCGTAGCTCAGACGCACCGCGCATTGTCCACCCTTTGACGCTTCGACACAGGCATGTTGAAAACAAGTAAGATCAAGACATATTCTCATAAGTTTTCCCTGTCACAATGACAACTTCAAAGCAGGTCAATGTTCGTGCCTTTTGCAGCTGTCCGGCTGCCAATGTTAATGCCAGAGAGTGGGTTTTCATGCCACTCTGGAGTCTCACCCCGACAACCGGAATCGATTCAGCCTGTACATAGACCTAGACCCAACCAGGAGATCGGATGCTCCGGTCGGCTTGGATAGAAAGCAATCGTCAGAGTGCCTGAGCCTTCTGACTCGTGCCCCTGACCACTGGTGTCACTATGTGCGACTGGTCTTGACAATGCGCCTCACTGCAGCTTATCGTGTTTTTTTTCCCATGGCCCGACAACACGTCCTACACATGTTGAGTCATCCTGGACCCACCCAGCACGGCAGAAGAGCGAGCGTCCACACCCCAGCGTAAGGCGGCTAGCCGTGTCGTTCATGGTCTTCATGCCCAGCAGCAGTCAGTCGATAACCCCATAGTCAAAGGGGTGGGGGCCGAGCGCCGAGTGAGCGAAACTTGAGGAAATCCCAGCACTTCGGTGTGTCTCAGCTGATCTACTCCGAGCCGCTCTTGAGATGCACCAGACAGAAATCTAAGGGCTTGCGGCATGGCTGAGATTAAGCGCAGCTTCAACGATGAGAAGCTCGTCCCGCACAGAAGACAGGTTATGTACAGCACTGCACTGGGTCTGGAGTGCACGAGGATGGGCTTCCTCAAGCGGGAGGACACTACTTGCTACTCAATCAGGCCAGGCTTTGTGACTGGTATGACGCTCGGCCGCACTGAAACGTAGAAAGTGATGCGTGCCTCGCTACTGGAGCAGCCATAGCCGCTATGATAGCCCATATTGTAAGGCATCTGTACGTAATAGCGAGCTTCGCCACGAGAAGCCCGGCTTTATCCTGCGGTGCCAAATGACAATGAGGAATGTGCCTGGCAAGTTCTATGTCAACGACCAGCTGCTCGGCTCAAGATACTTGTCGTTGCGAGGGGCAAGTGTGTGGTTTGTGCAGTACCGGTGCTATCAAGCTGAGGGTTGCAATCGACTGTGATTCCTAAGCGACAGAGTGCTCGGAATATGTGACTAAAAGCCAAGGCTATGTAGGGTCAGAGGTTGCCTTGCTCTCATCAAGGCTTGAGCGCTTAATGATCGATGAGCTGCGCAGCTTCAGCAGGCAAGCGATGAGCATGTTATTCCAGGCAGAAGGGCAGAGCGGTGGCAGCTGCTAGATTGCACAACGCAGGCAGTCCCACAATGCGGGAGGATTTCTGCCAGCTGTGAAGCAGATTGGGAACGTGGCGGCTTTGCCAGTGCCTCGTGCGACTGCTGGCAATGACCCGTGGCTCCAATCACGATGCAAAGCGAGGCCTGGCATTGTCAAGTATTCCATTGGCCTCCCTGCAACTTGGCTCAAGCAGGTGAGGCTTTCTCCCAGACTGTCCTACAGCATTTTCAGGACATTCACAGTGGATACGGCTTTGCGATCGGAAACGTCGCTGCGTTTGACATGGGTCTGGACCTTCTATGGCGGAGTGAAGTGGGTGCACCAGGCCTGTGCCCTTCCTTGCGGCGCTTGCCGGGGAGTCCAGGTCTTCCAGAAGCTGTTGTTTCTCCTGGCGGTGTTGGGTTCGATATCAACTGCCCGGTCCTTAGTTCCAACACCGTCTCAGTCAGATTTCCGAAGGCGGCAGCTCGAACCATTTTCAGGCGGTGTGAGGCTCGTGCGCACGAACCTCCTTTATTCGGATGTGCAGCCGGTAAAGGCAAGTGATTTGTGCACCCATCTTAATCCGGGCCCTGCAGTCTAGTCCTTTGACTGGATGCCAGGAGACTCTGGCTCAGTCGCTCTTCGATCACATTCCTGTCGGCGAGATCCTCAGCATGCTGACAGTGTCACAAGCATCGGGCTGTGACTCTGCAGGTGTCGGTTCGATGGGTATCATTCCTACGAAAGAGCAAGATCTGGAGGAGGCCATTCGTGCGAGAGCTGGGAGGTTTGCTTGCAGAGAAAGAGAGCAAGTGGCTCGAATCTCCAGATCGTTTGAGAGGCACTACAGCTTGGCATCGATTTCTCTCTTCGAGAAGGCATGATTTGACAAAGTTGCAAGTCTTGTAGAGCACCAAGGGCTTTCTGTGCCCAAGCGGAACGCAGGCTACGCTTGGCCCGAGGACAAGGAACACTGCGAGGAGCTGCTGCCCAAGTCTGGTAGGATCCAAGGGAGGCTTCTGCCACTGGGAGCTCCGAACCCTTCGTGCGTAAGGTATGGCCGCATGTTGAACGCCGATCCTGGGAAGGTTTCCAGCCGAGCAAAGAAGCCCGTGGCTGAGCAGCGCTCATTTCACTGGCTGCTTTCTCGCAGGAGCTGTTTCGACAATAGCTTGCGAGGCGTGGGCTGCCTCAGCTAGGCACACTCGGCGCAGGGAACCATTATGCCGAGATCCAGGCGGCTTTACATGGGCCCCCACTGGCCAGGCTTCCGCTTGAACAATGATCGCGTGGGTTAGGTGGTTGATGAAATCTACGACGAGTTCGTCGCCAAGAAGATGGGCATTGACCAAAAGGGACAGGTATGTGTTCAGACCTCACTTGAGCCTATGCCGTGCTCATGGAGTTGATGAGGGCTGCAGCGCCTAGGTCATGATCCATTCTGGCAGCCGTGGACTGGGACATCAGGCATTTTGCTCTCTGCTTTGTCTTGGAGACGTCTACGGAGCAAAACAGGTTGCCACCGATGCCTTGGTGGACATGGAGCGGGCGATGCGCGAACCTTACCGTGCCATTCGCCATGTCTTCGCATCCCATCGTGCTTTGCGAGAGGACGCGGGACAACATCCGCACCAACGACCGTCAGTTGGCATGTGCCCGAATACAGTCTGCGCAAAGCTCAGGGGAGTTCCACACACATGCGCATCCTCGAAAGATACAACGGTTAGTGCTGCATCAAGGACGAGGGTCAGAACTATTTGAAGGCACGTTGAACTAAGTGCCTTATTCACAGGTGGTTAAGGGTTCTGTTTCGCGCGTTTGGGGATGTCTTCGGCCACTGCCAGGGCATGTCTGCAGCTGCCAACTACGCCTGGGTGAACCGCTCTTCGATGACTTTCCTGACACGCCAGGCTTTCGCCAAGGCTCGCATAGAGACATGCGGTTGGACCCTTCAGTTCCGTGTGGATCGACCCTGGCCTAGGTCTTCAATCAGTCTCCTGAAGATCTGGATATGCATGTTATTTACGAGCCTTGATTCGCCTTAGGCAAGGGAAAGTCGTCACAGCGAGGGCTCTTTCTCTGAACAAGCATGGCTCAAGACCGCACCGAGGATGTCTCCCACAATATCGCCAAGGTGGAAGAACATTTCGTGACTTGGCGACGGTCCGAGGGCTTGCTAGCTGGCAGCAGCTGTTTCGACAACATCTTTTTGGTACGATTCGGAATCGTTTCTGCGAAGGGAGAGTCTTACATTGCAAGAGCCGGTGATTTAACCTGGTGTAGCAACTTGTACTGGCCTCGCAGGGTCATGTTGCTTCTTTAGGACCGGGTTCGTCCGAGCTCCGGAGGTGTAAGATGGGCGTTCCTGCCGCAGGTAAAGAGCTTCTCCCATCCTTTCAGCTGCGTTTGAAGGATATGTTTTTTCAGCTTTAAGGGCTCCAGGCATGATCTTCTTGCAAGGTAGATGGCCAGTGCAAGCAGCTGCTGGTGCACAGAAAAGGCTCCACCCGAGCCTTTCCGCTTCCTCCTCAGTTCGCACGATATAGACATGATAAAGCCAGGAGGACTGCCTGCCCAGGCCGCACCACCCACTGATTCCTGTGGATTATCAGTTGACCGGCCAGCCCGTCATCGTCGGAGGCTGGACTCACCGCATGAATATTGCATGACAACTCTGTCTGACCTGTCGAAAGCCGTGCTGCAGAGCTTCGCAACTGTGGATCTCGAGAGGCACCATGGGAACCTGCTCGTACGTGCTGACTGGTACCGACAAAGGCGCCTCTGATCCAACAGCCATGGGAGAAAAACCGCACTTGAGTCGGCGTATGAGTTGGATGCCAGGTTCGTCGTTTCGAAAAATCCGAGAGCTGCCTGATGTCGCGCACAGGCATGAGAGAAACATTTGGCAGCACCTGCCATGGAGCCGGGCGCGCTTTGAGCATCGGCCCAAGTCAGAAGTCCTGTGCTGGCATCTTTGCGAGCTCTATGCTGTCAGACACGTGCAGCGTGTTTATAGAGAGCTCAGGTAGGAACAAGTCGCGGAATAATCTGGACTATGGTGACGTCCTGAAGAGACTAGAGGAGCTTGGGTTAATGATGACTGGTTTAGCTGTCCGAATCTGCTCTGCAGGACATGGGCATCTCGATTCGAGTCGCCTCGCCAAAGCTCATCATGGAAGAGGCTCCAGAGAGCCTCTTGACTTGGACTGCTTGTGCGCTCTTCTCGTTCGGTTCTGGATTCTGTATCGATTCGCAGTTTAGGCTACAAGGACGTGACGCAGGTGGTGCAGACTTGCCTCGGCCTCGGATGTGTTTTCGCAGTTGCGCCTGCTTCCGGCGCTCTCACAGGCCACGATGCCGGCATCTCCAAGAAGGCTATCAAGCTCAAGCCGGTTGCTGTCGTTAAGGGTTGAAGCCAAAGCTCCCAGCCTGCACTGGAACTTTGCCTCTTGAAGTCCTTTCCTTCATTCGTCGGGTTTCTGTCTGTGCAAGGTCAGCTACAGAGAGCCTCATACCAGCGGCTCGTGCCGAAGCTTTAAAAAAAGCTGATCAGTCATGCACGCAACGGTGTCTGGAACACGAGGGACAGCTTGCAGACGCGATGTTCTGGCATCCGGCGGTCTTTCAGTTGCCTCACACATCTCACGCAGCCGAAGCCAAGCAGCTACGTCTTTCATAGCCTTCAGAGTCAGCGGAAGGGACACCAGAAGTTCAGGCGGCATATGTGCAGCGATAATGAGAGATCAGCCGATCACTCGCAGAATCTGAAGCTGTATTTGCGAGTCGAAACAAATGGCTCACCTGACTCTGAGAATCGTTAGTTCAATTGTCCCCGTGATGATCGGGATCGTCCAACACATGCAAGCAAGCGATTGAACGACGACGACTGTGCCGAACTTATTCTGTTCATGCTGTTTGGATAAATCTCGTATCCATGTGAAAGATTCGTCCGACCCGGTGCTGCTCAGGTGGAGCCATGTCTGTGACAGACCATGGCGACACGGATTGCAACATCTGCTTCGAACCCCTGGAGTCCAGGCCGATAGCACGCCAAAAACAACCACATTTTATAACGGGTGGTGCAGCTCTGTTCAGAAGTCACAGCACCACGTGCTGTCAGGGGTGGTGCGGCCAGGGGCTTGTTGGTAGACTGACTGGTGCGAAGTGGAGCCGGGTCTTCATCTTGCCGCAGAGGTTGCCCTTCCGTGCAACTGCAAGATTGCCTACTGTGCACGATGCAGGGATCCTATTGCCTTTGTTGCCTTGTGTCAGCGGCTGCCCTGTCCTTGCCATTGCTCTGCAAGAGGTTGGGACAGATCGCTGGCGGCAAGTATGTCGTCTTGCGGATGCTCGGCCTAATGAAAAGAGATGTCACGGGGCAATCGCAAGTATGGATATATATGTCCGTCATCGTGCCAAGAGCTGGTTGTGCAGCTTAGGCATGGCATTGTGCCCCTCCTGCCGATGTTGTATGCAGGCGCGCATGAAGCATGTCTACGACCTCATGTCATCAAGTTCGCAACTGGCGAGGTGGACTTCGACCCCAACAGCTGCCAACTAATGTTCCGACGATCTGCAGACAAAGGCTCCTTCCCAGGGACCACGTTTCTGGGGTAGATGTTTCTGTAAGGTTGACCGTGGACCCATCTGCAAGTGTTAGTTGCAGCATGATGATAACCAGCATACTATCAGAGCTGCTTTCATGACATCCTGCAGGCTCTTCAAGCACTTCTGCAAGAATGAGGGAGCGCCGCCATACGCAAAGCAGTAGTCACTGCTGAGGGTATCAGTATGTATTGCGAGCTGCAGATCAAGATTTCCAGCATTCCCAGAACCAGGTCAAGCCTGACATTTTCTCAGGTAAAAACAAGGTATTGAATCCAAGGTCCAAGAAGCATCTAGCAAGCCTCTCTGCTTTTTCTGCAGGATTTGCGGACCCATCTTTATGATCAGGCTCATGCACGCACTCTGCCACTGCGAGGGGTGATTCGAGTGAGAGCCCCCGGCTGCAGGCCAAGCCAGTGCAGATAAAGTTGCTGCGGGCATATGGCGACAAGGCATCTGGTGTTTTTTTCATCTTGTCGTATTTACTCCGCGCTATTCAGTCTGACTCCAGGTGGGTCAGCCTGGTACAAGGACTTCCAAAGATATGGAGACTGAGGACTCAGCATACGGGGGTGCCTGACACGTGTGTGCGAATGTATGTCCTGGGAGGTCAGGGGCAGCATGTCGTAGTCGCATTTCACATCCTTGGCCAGCCCGCGATAGGCTTAAGGCTAGGCACAGTTTCAGCCAAGGGCAGGCGTAGCTGTTCTCGGCTACGGTGAGGGCGGGTGGTATTCGTCGCATATTGACGGTTCAGGCTCAATGAAACTGTCGGGCTTCATCCGCTCTAGTTGTAAGCATGACGAGACCAGAAGCGATTGCTGTGAGATGCCTTCCCACGTGTAGCTGTGACTTCCCCCTGCGCAGCCTGCTACTGTCTCCTTGGTGAACTCAACATGTTTTGCTCACTGCTTTCGACATCAACTGCATGGCAGTGATTGATGCCTTTCCTTAGCACTACTGCTGAGTTCCCAGGTTTCAGCTGTGTCTCACTGCTGCAAGGAGCTGCAATGTTCCCACATGCAGCAGGAAAATTCGGGTCGCCCGAGGATGCTCAAACGTCTCCTGGTTCGCGTCTGGAAACCTTCTCTGCAGTCGCAATCTTGAAGAATTCCCAGCTTTGATCCCATCTCCAAAACACCCAGTGCTGACGCAGTTGCCCCAGCAGCGCTTGTGGAGGACCATGTCCCTCGTTGTGTTTGCGGCAGCAAGCTGGCCTGCACAAGCGTGCGGGACCGCGTTCGAAGTTTCGTGGAGGAGGACGGTCTGCACTGAGCTTGCAGAAGTCCTTTCCGCCGCCTGAACCATCCCCCGATGGCACTTCCAGGAGACACCAGTTCCGGTGACAGACAGCGCCTCTTGGCTTTTCATAGGAAATGCTCTGCGGCTGATGCTTTCCCAGCCAAGGAGCTCGAGCATTTGCTCCGCAGCCCCCCGATTATGTGCGATATCTGCAACTCTCAGGCTCGGCACTGCCGCTACGGCACTGCCGCTACGTCGCTGCGTGTATCTCTCTCGGCAGGTTGTTGTTTTGCGCAGCAAACCTTCGTGAGGTGGCTGCTTCGGCTGATGTTTGGACCTGCGAGAACGGGCGCAAGACGGTTCTGCATGCCGTCGCATACGATGTTTGTCAGGCCTGGCTTTCTTTCCTGTTGCCAAGTGTCCATGGGTTGTGGTTGCAGCTTCGCCAGGCCTGTTTCAACTACTATGCGTTTGGCACAGAGAGGCTGGACCTGCCACAGAAATCCGCAGCATCACCTACAGTTACAGGTGTGAGCTTGTGCCCGCAGCAGCAGACGAAATCTTCCAGCAAAAGATTTGGCAGCGATCTTTGCTGTTTGCTGAGGGAAGTGGTTTCAGCCTCCTACGAGCCAGGGACGCTGCCTTGTCAAAAATTGCTCGAAGCAGAACATCTTAATATGATTCCAAGTCGCGCGATGTAAGAATCATGTGCGGCGCGCATGACCTTTTGGCAAGCATCTGGGGCGCTGGGCTCCTGCCTGATCAGGGAAGTTGTGAATGACGAGGATGATGAGGAGGAGGGCAGCGACTACATGGACTCCGATGACTCTGAATCCGAGTCAAGTGACGACGAAGAAGGCCGGCAAATTGATAGAAGTAAAGGGAGCGACAAAAGGAAGGCAGGGTATGGGCATAGGCATAGCGACTGCTTTTTCTGCGTGCTGACCCTCAGAATCCCAGGTTAGATCTGTCGACCAATATCAGTAACTTACCAATCGATCAAGCGCCCACTTGGGAAGCTAATGGAAGCTGAGTTTGGAGCCGAGGTTAGGCGGTTCGGCTATGTTAGGCTCGGAGGACCCGGAAGTGAAGTATAGAACATCAAAGAGGCTTCTCCAGCTGTAGGACGCGAATGCACACGTAGTCCCGCATTGGAATCGTGGTCGTGCTGGTGCAGGTGGCTCTAGTAGTGCTGGTGCTTAGCGGCTGGCGCTGCGAGGATCTTTTGCACTTGCTTAGGGCTTTGACGAGCGACCTCAAAGTAGCGGCCAGACCCAAACGAGGCTTGCATGCCCTTGCCCTGTAGATCTCAACTGTGCATGCACCCGAACGTCAATGAGTTGAAGTGTGGGTGTGGACCGATGCCCAAGCAGGTTGTGACGTCTCCGATGGACCAGCCTCAAGTCCGAATGCTTGCTGATCACAGTCGTAGGTTTTTTTCGCCAGCCTTTAGTAGGCGAGGCCAATCGATCGGAGGACAGATCTTCTGCTGGCCGGAGCACCGTGTCGTATCTTCGTATCTACTCAAAGCTAGCAGGTGATGCACCGTGTCGGTTGAAGCCCTGTTCTCCGTCCTTCCGGTCTTGCTGGGTCGGGGCCACCACACAAGGTGGTTTGGCCAGGTGCACAAACGTTCTGCAAGCGCGTTCGACGCAACAGCAGCGCAGTGCAGGAGTCCCGTGCAAAAGGCTTTCGTGCTTGCCTGAAGCCAGGCTCCAAAAATTGGCCGAGACGGGTTAGGCGAGCTGCAATATTTCTCACCATGCACCAATGCACCGTGTGTCTTCAGAAGCGGCAGCAACTGCATATAACAAGTAAGCATCCTGGCAAATTAGGCCGTGATGAATTCCCTTCACCGCCAGTTTTTTCATGTCTTGGATCCGGGGGGGTCCGGGTATTGCGGAGTTGTCCTTGGGGTGACTGTTTTGGCTTCACGTCTACTCCCTTCTGTCTAGAAGCAGGCTGAAGACAGGCTGCTGGCTAGTCAGCACAGTGCAGTCACAGATAGTCAGAGTGCATGCTGCTGAGACGGCTCAATGACACCAGCATGGCTGCACACTGGTGCACTTGTAGCCGCTCGAGCCTACTGCGCCGTCCCTCGCTTGGGAGGGCATGGACGCCTAGCTGGGGTGACCACCAGCTTTATGCAAGTTTTAGCAACCTTGCAGCGTCCGGGCACCGTAATTTTGCGGCTCTGACCGCGCTCAGCCTCTGCAGTCAGCCGAAGCGAGTATGTCAAAGAGTTAGACGGTTCGTACGTCGCCGCAGCATTGAAGCGACTCCCTTGCAAAAAGGGGTCAGCAGCAAGACCATGGATCCTGCAGAACAGCTAGCCTTTGCTGCAAGAAAGGCAGAGCAGCTTGCGGCCACTCTGCGTCAGGGACGGCGTCCCAGGGAGGTGACCGTGGATCCCGAAGTTGCTGCCTGTGCCGCGGAAATTCGACAAAGCATTCTCTCGATGCAGCAGCCAGTGAGTGCTGCCGTGGCAGCAGATCTTGTGGTCGGACTCTCTGCTTTTGCCAAGATGAGGATACTACACACAGATATGTTGAACAGCTTAAGGGACTTACCGCGCAAGACTTGGATGGACTTGTCAATGCCGATCTTGGCAGAGGCCGTGACATCGTACGCCCAGTTTCAGCTAGAGGATCCCGAGTTCAACCAGTACTTGTCCGATCTCCTCGTCTCTCGCGGTGTGCAGAGGATAGGGGCAGCGAAGCTCGCAAATCTGACTTACGCCGCGGCAACTCTGAATTTGGGTGCTTTCGAGGGGGTGCATTCCCTGTTTTCGGCAGCCTTTGCTGGAGCAGAGGTTGGCAGGCTGGGAACCTTTGATCTCTCAAGGACTCTTTGGTCTCTTGCAAGGTTGGCGCCCGATGTCTACGAGTCTGCGCCCCCTTGGGCCTTGAAGCTCTCGGAGGCTCTGCTGCGGCAAAAAAAGCCTCCCTTTGGCTACAGCTTGGGGCAAGTGCTCTGGGCCCTGCCGAGGCTGGGGTTGGTTAAGGACTCCGAGACCTTGTGGCAAAAAGTGAAAGGCAAGGCTGGGAGGGAGGCGTACGCGGAGAAGCTGCGACAGGCGGACAGCTCCAGCCAAGCAGAGCTTCTGCGTGGCCTTGCAGAAAACTGCGAAGCTGCTGGTCTGCAGGCTGCAGTGCTTAATGCAGCAATGCTGCGTGCCATGGCCGCAGAGCAGAACTCTGCCGCGGATCAGATCTTGCAGCTCATGGCTGACCGGGACCTTTGGACCCCTGTCACGTACCGCCTGGCTGCCAGACTCGGGAGCTCCATTAAGGGATCCCCAGCAGCGCCAGGACTAACATCACCTGGCCAACGGGCTCACAAATATGTCCGAGCCTTGTATCATGCCCTGGCGAAGGCCAAACCTGGCGATGCCGCATCTGCGGCCGCTGCCCTCGAGAGTTTCTCGCGAAGCAGCAAGCGAGCCTGGCTGAAGTTCGGCGCTGCAGACGAGAAGGGCGAGGTTCTAGAAGAGGCTTGGAAAAGCCTGAGTCAAGGGCAGCCGCGCTTGGCTTTGGAGTTTGGGACCTTCCTTGGCTACTCAGCAACAAAGATGGTCCGGCAACTCGGCAGGGACTCTCGGGTAATCAGCTTTGAGATGGACCCAGAAGTAGCGTGCCTCGCCATGAACTTCGTGGAGCTCGCAGGGCTGAGTGACGTGATCGACGTTCGCATCGGCCAGTGTGAAGATCTCGTTCAGCAGCTGAAAGATGAGCTTCCACCTGGCTCTGTCGACGCTGTGTACATGGACCACAACCAGATGACATATCATCAAGACCTGTCCCAGCTGCAAGAGAGCGGCCTCCTCTCGAAGGAGGTTCTCTTTGCAGCGACACAGGCGTTGAAGCCAGGTGCTCCCCTGCTGCTCTGGAATTTGCATGAGGCACAAAAGGCTGGCATCTTCTCCGAGCTGGATATCGTGTCCTCACCCGATTGTGGCTTCAAGGAGATGGAAGACTGGACGGTCCTCGCCAAAGCTACAACCACAAGGACGAGAAGCTTGAAGCGCCGTCAAGCAGTCACAACTTCCAAAGCTCCCCGTGAGCTCACACTTCTTGCTGCAGAGTGCAACCTGATGCGCTGGCGCACGGCTCAAGGCATGGTCGATGAAGCACGGTGGAACGAGTTTGTTCAGTATGTGCGAGATGGCATGCAGAAGTTTGCAGGCATCACGAGCACACGAGATTACTGGCCAAACCAGCGGTGGCGAGATGCTGCCCGGAAACACACGTACGAACGGCTGGACTACTGATCGACGCTGAACGCTCAGGCCAACATGTACGTCGTCTGCATCCTTGCTCTTTCCACGGGATCAAGGGCACACATCCCGGCCTATCTGACATCTGGGCATCCTCACGAACTCCCTGTCGTTCTGCTTCGACCAACGGTCCTGGAGCATAACGAGATGCGTTGCTGCCTGGCAGTTGAGGAACACCAACGACCTGAGGTCGGAGCAGTCAAGGCTCACCGTCAAGTCTCTGACACACGTGATGTGATGGCGCATGCTCAAAAATCGCAAAACAAGCTTTTCGTTGGTAGGCCCGAGTGAGCGAAGCCACGTGCAGCAACAGCCTCACTATGCTGTAGCAGTCCGGCTCGAAGTGAATTTTGCAGGGCTCGGTGATTCCGGAGGCAGCCTTCGACTGCAGGAAGTCGCGGTCACGGGTGCTTTCCTGAGAGGATGGTGCTTCTGGACGTAAAGAGATCGGAGAAGAAGAATGAGTTCATGTACGAGACAACAGTGAAGGCAGCCCGCTTATTGGGGATGTTCTGGAACGCCACACTATCTACACTGAAAAAGCCGTGAACCCCACGAAGGTGACTTTGACCCCTTGCTGTGCTGACAGCGTTTCTCGAGCTTGCTGTTACAATGAGTACCGCCAAAGGATACACTGTAACAAGCCGTCAAACTTGCGAGCATGTCAGATGCACATCTTCCATTCTGACAGCCTTTTAACGGTGAAAGCCATGTTGTTAGGAGTTGTGTCTACAATAAAAAGGAAAGCGGGGAGCTTCGACACAAAGGACCTGGACCTGATCCCTGGCACCAGTTTCAGTTGAACTCAAGAAGACATGCCGTGATAGAGCGGTTGGAGCTCAAGACCCGGCAGGCCAATGTTGGAGACCTCTTGAAAGAACTCTGCGAGCTTCACAACATGAGGTCCTGATCACAGTATGCAAGTCAAAGCTGATGCTAATAATGTCAATTTGGAGCTTAGCACATGAGAGGCTCAAAGTCCAGAGGCTCTCCCTTGCATGCAAGGCTGGAATTTCTTTGCAAGACATCGTAATCGTGATGACATGGTGTAAGAGCTTTTTTTTACTCTGGCGGTGCTCTGCCAGGAGCTGGCGAAGCACGGGCCCCTGAGACCGGAGGAAACTCGAGGAATCTCCGAGGCGGGCCGACTTTCGCCTTGCCGTCGCGGGCCGCATCATGTGCCTACGCGCCTCAGGACCTCAGCAAAGTCACTGAGCTAGACGTGAATGCGTATGGGCAGCCTACTAGACGGAAGCCTACAGCACGTACTTCATGTTGAAAGTAGCAGAAGACAAGCGATCTAAGGACCGGATGAGTCTGGCTTTCGCACGGGAGTTCCTCCCCCGCCCGAGGCTGGTTATTCCGGATGTACAGGGTCGTAGAATTGTGCAACGGTGCGTGGGAGTAGTTTGAGTCACCCTTGGAGTACATGCAGCATCCGTGAACCACAGGTGGCCGACGTGCTGACCCGCACAGCAGAGGAAGCCGCGGCAGGACTCTCAGATAGCGAACCACCAAGAAAGGAACCACCAAAGAAAGCGGTCAGATCTGTTCGTGATTCGTAACAGCTCTGCATGCAGAGCCTGGCCAGATCACGCAAGCTTTACCAGGCTGCGGTGGCCTCCGAGCTGGTGACGCAGCGAAAGTGTGTTGATAAGAAGGCAAAGCGGCAAACACACTTGCTCAAGATGCTACTGTGATGCGATGCTGTCTGGACAGACTGGCAGGTGTGCCAGACGCAGATTGACAACATGCGCGGTGCCGTCATGTGGCGTGAAAGCATTTTAGTCATCAACTCCTGTAGCACTACCTGCCGTCTGGTTGAACGAAGCTGCTGTGCAAGCACACTCACGACACACGACACCCAGGATTGCGTATCCTGCTTTCCATCGCTTGCCTATTTATGTTGGTGGCCCAGGTAGCTGTAGTGAATCCAACGCATGTCGCATGTCGCTTGTGGGGGGCCAGTCATTCAGAGCTTTGCAATGATGGCTCAAGCTGCAATAGCTCTCTAGCGTGAACGTTGCAAAAGGATGGCGGGTGATAACTTGCTAGGCAGCCCTTTCGATGCGGCAGAGGCTGGAGACAGGCAGCAGTTGGAACCCGTCGCCCCGGGTGGCACGGCGAATGGTAAATCGAATGACCTCGTGCAGCAGATGTCAGTGCAGGACTTCTCCGGGTGTTGCTCCACGCTTATGCAGGACATGAAACTTACGGAGCAGAAGGATCTGTTGCCGCTGCTCGTTGGCGTTCTGCAGCATGTTGGAAATGCAGAGTTTGCTCACGGCAATGCACCAAAGAAGCGCAGCGGGGCGTTCAGCAAGTCCGTGAAAGTTGCCTTGGATGAGGCAGAAAAGGTGGAGGAGTGCGAGTCCTTTAGAAGGCTACGCCGTGCGGCGCTCACTTCCGATGCGAGGTATTTGTTCCAGCAGGAGCTGAGCAGCAAGGACTGCGACCTGCACCAAGTCGATGAGGTACTGCTTCAGGAGTTGGAGCCAACTCTGCTGAGATTCGGATTCCCGGTCAGCCAGGCTGGGGTTCATGATGCCCTGCAAGTTCTGAGTGAGCAGCACGTGGTCAAGACGTGCGAAGCGGATGACGAGCCCTGCGGCTTCTGACATCGAGGCCTGCGCCACTCACGGCTCAAGCTCTGTACAAAGTTACATCGAACTCCCTTGGAGTGGAGATGCCAAGTCAAAAAATCCAGGCAGAGATATCTGTTACAGTGATGTTGCGGCGACGGTAGAAGAGCTGTTGCAGACATCGTCTTGGCAAGTCTCGGCTGAGGATCCTGTACGCCAAGAGCTCGAGGACCGGGAGGAGCTTGACGGAGCGTCGGAGTTGCAGTGCGTGCCGGCAGCCGAGCTCTGACTCTGGATGCTGGATTCCGGAAGCTTTGTGACGAAAGCAAGAGATGGAGTTCTGGTTTAGTCTATTGCCGCCAAGTGTTCCTTGTCCCAGAAGTCATGCCTCCCTCCTGACAATTTTACGTGCCACTTCCCTCGACGATTTGAAGGAAGATGTTGCAGACTGAAAGCGCTATTGGATTGCCAGGCTCGAGCCTGCCCAGACTAACTTGTGGTGGGCTGGAAAGGAGCTCAGGACCTTGACTCAGTGCGCCTGTCAGGCGGCAAATCTCATGAGTCCGTGGAGAGCCTTTCAGGATGGACCAGACGCTGGAGCAGTATGTTGGCAAGAATGCCGGCACCCTAGTGGCCCTAGTGGATTCATGGAACGGAGACTGCCCTCGTTTTTGCGCGCAGGAAAAGACGAAGATCGTCGCAAAGCTTGCTCCGAAAGCCTCTGGAGCTCCCGTGCGGGAGCCGCGAATAGACGAGAACACGCACAAGGCGAAGTCGGGAGCAACAGATTGGAGCGCAATTGCTGCGGATGTGACAGATGTCATGCAAAGGCGATGATGGCCCATTACTACCGAAAGCAGGAGGAGAGCAAGAAGCTCCAGGAGCCAGAGGGGGGAGTACACTGACCTTTCATGAACTCCCCGCAAATCCAAGGACGACGAGGACGACTCGTACCTGGATTCGGAGTGGGCCAACCCGAAGGCCAGATCGAGAGTGGTCTGAGAGGAAACCTTTGACCGCTGTAAGCAGTGTGTAGCAGTGTTTGTAACGTCTGGGAAGACTTCTTGTGACTTGGGCCAACGACCCACGATGACCAGGCTCTGAAGAGTGCCTTGGTTGGCGGCGGAAGGCTGGAAGACAGGAGAGTTGATGAAGGTTAGACTAGTCCTGTGGTGTGGCAAGGCCCATCTCCTGGAAAACAAGATGACGAGGCTGATGAGGATAACGTAGCACAGCGTAGCAGCTCAGTGCTTGAATTCAGTGGAGAAGCGAGGCCCCCTTTCCCCCCCCTTGATACCATGATCTCGCGTTGTTATGCTTGGTTGGTCTTGCATGCCGGGGTTTCAGCTCCTTTCTTTGCATGCCAGTGCTATCAGTGCTCTGGCCTCCTTGTACAGCTTGTGGTCAGCTAGCAGTGGCCCTTGGGCCAGAGATTTCGACACGGTTTCACCTTGCACATACCAGAAAGCCTATGTGCTCCACAAACATGGTCTGCTGAGCTCAGAGAGAATCGGCATTTCCCAGGCATCAGGGCATCACCTCTGTTGCGACTCCAGTCAGGCTTGTGAGCTCTTGCCGCAGCCAGGCCGCTTTCGTAGGACAAGGTGGGAAAGATGCGAGTCGGCTTTGGCCTGCATGAAACCACATCCGCCAGCACCATGCCAGTTCAAAGGCTCAACAAAGCACCAGACATAACAGCAAACGAAAAGCCAGGGCTCAACGTCGACACAAGCTGTCCAGCATAGCCTTCCGACAGGCGGCTTCGTACTAGAAGTTCATGAACAGCAAAGCAAGCGCAGAACTGCACGGTGCTCGAGGGACCAAGCATGGATCCGGCGCTGGATTCAATGCAGGCTGCCCACGTGCCATGATGCGAGTCGAATTAGGACGTCATGTGCCGATGGTAGGAGTCACAACACCTGCCTGCAGCGCAGAAGCCCCAAGCTCAGTGGGCACACAAGCTTCTTGTGCACAAGTTTTTGAGAAGTGTTGGCAGGAAAGCATTGAAAAGCACCCAGGCTCGGCCAAACGTCGCAACCGGCGCAGACGTCGGGGAGATCAACGACAGAGAAGGAGTGAGCATACTTCCGGTTCTTTCTGGTAGGATTGGGTATCGGATCTTGATCCCCTGCACAAAAGAGCTGCAGAGGACCAAGCTCCAACCACGTTTCCTCTGTTGAAGGCCCTGCAGACATGACAGAACCGAGCACCCTGTGCTTGGGTCACCCTTTGGTGGGTCTCTGGTGCATTTTGGAGGTATCACCTCCGATTCCTGTTGGCCGTCTGGCCGGACGATTCAAAGTGCAGCTTTGGCGGGCCAGCCCCGATCACAAGCTGAACCTCATTGTTGGGCCAAGCTCCCAAAGTCGGAAGCCCGGAATCAAGCTTTCTGTGCAGTGTCCTGGCACGTCAGAGGGCTTTCGGGCGAATTCATTGAGGCGATGTGGTCGTAATGGTGGATGCGAGTCATTTGGGCATCTACCAAGGAGATGAGGCCAGCGGCGCGTCAAGTTCGTTAACAGGAGAGTTACTAGCGCGAATGCAATCGATGTGTTCCCAGGTGCTCAGCATCAACGGTGTGTCTGTGCAAAGCTTTCGGCATTTTGCTGAACTTCTTGAATCATGTGGGCAGAATATAGAGATCCAGTTCTATCACAAGGCGGGGAGATGCATCGAATGAACTGCTGAAGACGTGTGGGCAAAGCAGGAGCCGCCGATAGCCACGCTCGTGCACGAGGAGACGCATTGGTTTGTCAGTACAGTGAGACTAGCGTGGGTTCAAGGTCTGAAGGCCAGGGAGTGGATGCAAAGAGACAGGTCTTACTCGTTTGAGCCTACCCCGGGGGGCGGCTTGGAGATGCATGGGGGAAGGTTGATTTTTGTTGTTTTTTTCATGTTGAGCTTTGTACCCGGCCAGGATTGCTCAAGTGAATTCCGCAAGTAGCTGTTCAAGAAGGTGTGTCTTTCGCAGCAGCGTGTGCTCGTGTGGGTAGGTCGGTGGTCGGGTGGGTGGGTGGGTGGGCAGGGAGCCGGCGAACCTCGGCAGAATATGGTCCCGAATAAGACATCGACAGGATGACCTGATCGAGATGTGCTGCGGTCCAACTCTTTGCGTGCCTCAGACCATGCCAGTGCTAGGGGCCTACGCGAAATCGTGCAGTGTTGAAGTTTTGAATCCAGCAGGTCTACCGTTTTGCATCGCCTGTAGCCAAGGTGGTGCGATTACTTCTACAACCCTCCAGAACCAAGGCCGTGGAATTGCGGTGTTTTGTTCGCACGGCAACATGTCTTCCTTTCCCTTTCTCCACAGCGTGATATAGCCTGCAGAACAAAACATCGTCCTGTGTGAGTTTAGTACTTTCATGACCGAGAGGTGCCGTGCCGAGTCCTGGACACAGCGGGAGGTTTTGAGTGCCTCCGTGGCAGAGACGAGCTCGGAAGGTGCCCTGCCACAGTATGGATGCTGCTCACCAAGAGCCTGGTGAAGAAGTCATAACCTGCACAGCTGCGCAAAAAGGCTAGGCTGCTTCGAACGGCTACACGATGATGGAGATGAATGCACTTCGCACGATTCGCATGAATGCGTTAGCTGTGCCTGTCAGGTTCTACGTTTCAACTTGAGATGCGTCGCACATCCATGAAGCGCCACGGCTCGCAAGTAGACTGCGGCAAGTTCAGCACTGCTCACAGCCCGCTGTGCGAGACCTGGTTCCGATTGAGGCAGCCCTTCGGGCTTCCACTTGGAGTGCTCAGCCTGCCAGCTGAGCCCTCCGAGCCCTCCAACGTGGCCTCGGAGGTCCGAATGCACATATGCAATTGTATGCATATACGTGACTGCGTGCGTATCCGTGCCGATATCTATGGATGACATGCATGTATGCTGCTTGAGAGTTTTCTGGATGCGAGCGGAAAGGGGCTGCCTGCCCGTCCGTCCGTCCGTCCGTCCGTCCGTATGTATGTATGTATGTATGTATGTATGTATGTATCTGTATGTATCTGTATGTATCTGTAAGTATCTGTAAGTATCTGTATGTATCTGTATGTATGTATGTATGTATGTATGTATGTATCTGTACTGCATGTATCTATATGTATTTGTATGATTTTGTATGTAGCTGTATGTATCTGTATGTATCTATTTGTATGTATGTATGTATGTATGTATGTATGTGTATGTATGTGTATGTATGTATCTGTATGTATCTGTACGTATCTGGATGTATGTATGTAGGTAGGTAGTTAGGTAGGTATCTGTATGTATCTGTATGTATGTNNGTACGTACGTATGTATGTATGTATGGCTTGCAGTAGATCCGGATGAGTACGAGCCACACGCCACAGCACTTATCAGTCATACAGACCCATGACCTCATACGTCAGACATGTCAACGCTACCGTGCTTATCTCAAACAGACACTATACATACTATACTGCGGCATTGAAAATCAAAAACTAAGGCTACAGCAGATTTGAGATATCAGATTGCATGGCGAGATAGTCTACTAGTTGACCTACGGCTTTACCAATAATTCCCATCAAGGAACTGTTGTTGTGAGTTTCCTAGTCGTAAACATGCTCACAGGGCTCGAAGACACTTTCAGCAAGAGCTTGAGGATGCGACCCATAGCAGTGCATCGAATGATTTTTCTCGCGATGAGCCACGTTGGCTGGACGTTGGTTTTCCTTGTGGTTTCTGGTTTGTCGTGGATTGTTGTTTCTTGGAGCTCCGAATACCCTTCGTCGTTGCTGTTGCTGTTGCTGCTGTTGCTGCTGGTGCTGCTGCTGGTGTTGCTGTTGCTGTTGTTGCTGGTGTTGCGGTTGCTGTTGTTGCTGGTGTTGCTGCTGTTGCTGCTGCTGCTGCTGTTGTCGTTGTTGTCGTCGTTGCCGGTTGATGGCATGACATTGCACGACACTACACTACATGGCACAGCACAGACCTGTCCAGGCTGTACGGTACATTACATGGCGTTCAACATGTATGTAGGTATGTATGTATATATGCATCTAAGTATACAGTGTATACACATGCATTTATCAGAGACACAACGTCATAAACACGAGTGTTTTGCGCACTTCCGTATATCACTGTATGTGCAGAAAATGTGAGTACTACCTGTCGCATGTGTGGGAATGGATGGATGGAGGGAAGGAAGGATGCATGGATGGACGGAGGGATGGATGGATGGATGGATGGATGGACGGACGCAAGCGTGCATGTATGTACACATACGCACATTTACTGCGCATCTGTTATACCACGTGTGTTTCAGCAATCGTGTGCTTTGCATGTTTATTGGCAGGTAGGGGAGAGGACATGCTGAATGCAAACGAACCCGATCTGGTCTCCAAAACAATGTCTTCCTGCTTGCAGCTGCTTGACCTTGAATTTCCGAGGACGCGCTGCTGACAACTCCGAAGTGTCAGCAGCTCTGCGTTACTGAGAGTTTCTGCTCCGACCGGGAGGTGCACCGGCGGGACATCCGGGCCGGTGCTCCTTTTTGGGATTGTTCGTTTTTCAGGGCTAGCTGCTAGCTGTTGGTGTAGTTATGCCTTTGATCTTGGCTCACTTAGTATTTTTAGTGTGCCTTATGATTTCCAAGAGAGTGAACGTCACGGAAGGTCGTGGATGCAGAGATTGGGCATCTGCGAGAAGATGAAGAAGAGGACACATTCATCACTGCATTGAGTTATGGACTTGTGCCAATTCGAGTATTGTCCCGGTGCTCGGGTCTCATCTGTCAGCAAGTACCATGGGGTTAATGGATTCTGAAAGCCCGTGATGCCATGCATTGCCGAGGCAGAATTCTTGCTTGTATCTGGTGGGCGGAGTGCCGCGCAGGTCAGCCAGTCCAATGCAGCCAGCATCATCGGGAGTCGAGACTAAGCCGCAAGTTCCGGCAACCAGGAAACTTCGACTCCCTGTTGCGGGAGTTAGAGGACCATCTGCAGATGTAAAGGTAAACGAAGATTGCTGGAGCAGAAGGCAGTTCATGAGCCGAGGAGGGCCTGTGGTCGTCTTGCAGGCGGTGCCCCTGCTTGGCCTCCATGCAGGTGATGAGTTGCTGAGGTGGGCTTGGCAAGCTGTCCTGCCTTCGGAAGCACATTGAAGCGACAGGATCAATGGGGAGGAGATCTCCGATCTTTACAGCTGCAAGGCCAACCACATCGCGGTCACATAGGGCAACACAACAAGCATCACATGCATCTCATGTTGTGTAGTGAACTTGGGGAGTAGTTGGCGGCGCTCTGGAGGCCGCGCTGAAGACCGCCATACATCTCAGCCTGGAATTTCGCAGACCAGAGACTGTCCCGAGCAGCTTCTGCACGACAGAGGCGGGATTGCTTCGATCTCTGCAGGCGCTGGTGTTTGGAGAGATGCACGAGAGATGTTGAGGTTGGGTCGCCGGCTCTGATTATGAAGACATCTCGACGGAGCGATGCCTTGGGCCCGGTGCACGGCACTTCAGGGTATGATTGTATCGGGTTCGTCTGATCAGGATTGGAATTCGGCCACCTCGACGAAAGACTGCAGCCGTGAAGTGCCGGAAGAAAGTTGGTACCAAAACTTGCACAGGGCTCAGCGCAGGACTGTGTGGTAGCACAGCCAGCTGCAAGCTTTGTGCCAAGGTTGCTCAAACTGACTTGCACCGATGTCTCCCGACAAGCTGTGTCACGCTAAGACCTGTTGGATCATTGATCCCATTCAGAAAAGGCAGAACATTTCGCCGATGAATTGTCTCAGGTAGATAGCTCCCCCATGTTGGAGGTGTCAACGCACAGGCCTGGCCTGACTGCAAGCCGTCGTAAGACAACCAGTCCCTGATGTGTACCAGGAGTTTCGATCCCAACGATCTTCGGGACACTTACAGCCAGCGACCCTCCTCCATGCGATTAGTTTCAAAGAGGACTGGGGAACTCCCAATGCGAGTGCAGGACGCAGTCATGATCTGAGCCCGAAGCACCAGCGGATGCGGAATGAGAAGTATGAATGCAACGCAAGTACCACGTGAAGCTCACTGTGCCCAAAGAAAGGACAGTTCAACAAGACTGTTTCTTCTAGGATCTGGCAGAACACTTGCCAGATGTCGGAAGATGCCTGGTCTCACGCTCTACAGAGGGTGCTGCCATGCTCCGGCCATGCGCACCTCATCAGGTCGTGATATAGCCCGACTGTCAGAGATGTCAATCTGGCGTCATCCCTACTCACCGCAAGGACTATCAGCATCACCATCATCTCTCACTGCCATTTCCACTGCCACTGCCACTGCACTCGCCGGCACTTGCCTCTTCATTTAGAGTTTTAGCTGTCCAGCTAGAGGTATCTTTCAGAACAGCTGCTCAGTGCCTCGACACGTGCAACATCGATGCAGAGATGTACGGACCATAATCTAGCCGCTACTCCAGACTAAACTGAGAAGGGTATAGAAGGGTTTCGTTGGCGACTCTGACGAAGGCTGATAGCTTTCGCCATGGCATGTTGGTTTGTGCGCCACATGCATGGTGGCATGCGCGTCAGTGGCAGTTCCATGTTCCAAAAGTTCGAAGCTAAGTCTCTCCGCGCTGCACGCTCCAATGCATGTAGCGAATGTAGCGATCCAATACCAGTAGCTGAATGCCCCGTCAAAAGGCGCGGCAGACAAAGCCCTGCTTGGTGTGGACACAATGAAAAGGGCTGTCTTGCTCCTGTACTCGTATTGTGCCAACACATTGACATGAGAAAAGGATATCAGTTGCTTTTTGCACACGTTGGCCCACGGCGTGCAGCGACAGGTGTGCACTACATCGTCGTGGTAGACCAGCGGCCTTCCCTGCGCACCATCTACTTGCCTGTACATCAGAGCAACATGCCTTGAGCCCTACACTCCGAGCCCTGATCCGCTCAGTAAACCCAGAACATCGGAAGACACCCCCAGATCTAAACCGCTTTGTCGCCATGACAAATCCTTGACGGCTTCTCGGAGCTGTGAAGAGGTGGCCAGCCGTAAAACATATTTAGGTGCATGCCGGGAGTAGCATCAGCAGCAACATCTGCGTCAGAATTCCTCCGGACTGCTGCCACCACCGCTGTCCTCCCATCTCAAGTTGATCAGCATGCATCTCACCTTTGCCAGCCTCGCAAATTCAGCCGTGAGCAACGTCATCACCATCATCATCATCATCATCATCATTACCATCATCACCATCAGCACCATCATCACCACCATCACCACCATCAACATAATCACCATCAGTTAGTCATCGTCGTCGTCGTTTCATGAATAGTAGTCGTAGCCGTAGGTGGTGGTAGCCATGGCAGTAGAAGGGGTAGGAGTACAAGCAGTTCAGGAGCGAAAATGGCGCTGCTACTAGTGGCCGTAGTCGGAAGATTTAGCTGCTTGAAAACTGCTATATACAAATGGAGACGCTTGTACACCACACATCAGGTATCTGCATGCAGACACATGCGCGCGTACACACGACACAAGCATCTACCTTTGCATACATGTACATCGTGTGGGCCTCAGGGAAGCCGCTCGCAGGGCAGGCCCGACTTTCGGACTCAAGGCCCCTTGGATGAGTTTTTCGAAGCAAAAGCAACATACCACCGAACCGGGGCCGCGGGCCTCTCCGCTCTTCGTTCGGATGGAATCGGGCCAGGCAGTCTTCTGCGCACCGGGCGGCCATGCTGCTAAACCTGCGTGCTCGCGGCTCAGGTTAGTTGTTTGTCTTGCCACGGTGATTGTTTTTACTCATTATTCCATGACATAGAGTCTGAGAGTAGAGCTGCACACTGGGTGGGCGGGCATTGGAATTGCTCGGCGACCGGGTCTGGCATGAGCCCCTGGCCAACGCAGGCGTGGTCCGAAACCGAAACAACCATAACTTTGATGCATCAGCATGTGTCCCCGAACTCATGTCATGGCTGGGTGTGGTGCATGATCTGAGCAACGCCAAGCATGCACAGAGACAGCCAATGTATTTCATCGATGTAGCATTTGGGGCAGACACGGCGGTGAGCTATCATCGCCATTGGCGCTGTCGTTGCAGCTTCGTCACCGACATGGGGCTAGAGTCCGGCTAGAGGTCCTGCGACGGAAGCGGACGTGAAAGACGAGCTGTTTTTGGGAATTGGGGACGTGGACCGGGCTACAGCGTCTCAAAAATCTTAGCATCTAAAGCACACTCCGACGGTGGCTCCGCACCCAAGAAGGGTCCGCGTGCCGGAGCTGGAGCACTGAAACAACATCTTTGATTTCCTGTCGCCGTCATTGAGAGGAGCTTGCGTGGCGAGGCTTTGTGTTTCCCTGCTGGTAGGATTGGAGCCCCGGTGCAAAGGCCAAGACGCGCTCCATAATTGAAACAACAGACAACAGCCCTCCAGTCACCACCGGCACGCAGCTTGCAGCATCGGCTTGGAATGGACTCATCATCGGTTTCGATGGCACCATCACTCCAATCAAATCCCAATCCAATATGACATGGGGTTATCGACCTTGCCAGATTGAATTATCTAGTGTTGGTGAGGCCGTTTTTCCCCGATCCAACCCTGACGGTCCGCAGCTTCGGCATGGATTGTGGCCGGATCTGCAGACTGTGACACAGACCTGCAACGCATGACAAGGCTCCATGATGAAGCCAGGGCATTCTGCAGACAAAAGGGTTGCAGACGGGACGATGTCTCGCGTTGTTTGTTGGTGGCGACGGGCCGACAACGGACTCCGCGAATGTTCCATGTTCCAGTCGTTTGCCGAGGCCTCCTCCAGGGCTTTGCTGCGACCAGCAGGCGGGTGACAAACAGTCCGCTTCGGTTTGTTTGGCTGCGAGCATTTTCTGAGGTGCTCGGCAAGTCGTGTGGCACAGGACGAAAGTTGTTGTCACACATGTCGTACGAGTCACATTCGTCGCAAAGACAGGAGACTGCCTGGTCTCTGTGGGGTTCGCCACTTCAGCTATGCCAGAAGCAAAGCCTTTCACACCGCAAGATGCTGTGCGATCAGTACTTGCATAGCCAAGGTGCCTGACGAGAACAAGCCGCTGACAGCAGCGCAAAGAGGCAGAATATGGCATTGCTTTTGGAGCTGTAAGCATGGTTCGCGGTCGCAAACCTTCTGCACGGTGCAGGCGCCCTGGAGCGCCAGGAGGCCGCTGACGAGCTGCGAACACTGCCACAGCCATCCACTGAGATGTACTGTAAGTGTCATGAGTCAACGCGAAAGTGGTGGCCAGGGCTTTGTAGGTGGCAAGATCTTGAGAAGATCATGTACATGCTCCCCAAGCCTTCTAAAGCCCGTCTGCACATCTTGTGCAGAATGCAAGGCAGTTGCGGCAGTTTCCTCCGAAGGAGGGTGCTGTTATCTGCCGGGCACACAACCGCCCAGCTGCGTCAGCTGGGCCGCATGCCCAGAAGTGCTGTGCGTTGTGGCTGCAGCATATATCTTTCAGAACATCACATGCCTGAAGCATACATGCTCAAGACGGCAATTCATTCGATCAACATGTCATGAACGTGCGGGGGGGGGGGGGGGGGNNGAATGGGGTTGCCCTTCCGCATTGCTCCCTCACAAGCAGTTTCTTTCAAAGTCTTCATACTGTCCTTGTAAGTTACATAGATCGGGATTTGCACAAGGTGAGTCCACTGCTCTGGACGGATCCAGTGGTGTCTGCATGTTAGATCTTCAGCCTCATGGCGGCGCATGACCATCTGCCATTGTCGGGTGTTCGCGTGCTCGAGCTGTCCATTGCTATTGCCGTCGCCCAGCCGATCTAGAATGTAGGTGTGCAGATGTGCATTCCCGCAGCCTCTTCCTGAAGAACACGTCTCTAGGTTTTGAGCCTGAATGCAAGCAAGTGCCGTGTGTCGCTGTTAGTGGCCATGTTTTTCATTGGGGCAGTGCTTACCAATTTATCACGGATCGCCGGCAGAGGCTCCGTCGGCAGGTCAGGTGCTCGGTGACGCCTCGGCTGCAGTGGATCATTGCATCTTTGCACCTTGGGATAGCATGCTGCAGCGCCGTTCCGGCCCGAAGATGCTTCTTTGGAGTCCAGGACTATGGCGCAGACGTGATCAAAGTGGAGCCTCCTGGGGGCGACACGCAGCGCCACATGGTCAGCGGGCTTCTGGTTTGAGATTTGGAGACAGACGTTTCATGGTGAAAAGTTGAGTGTTTTTTGCTCAAGGCTTGGCAAGTCCAGCGCCGACCCGAGACTTGGACTGTGTTGGATCGTGAGTGTAGGCTTTGGCGGGCTGCTGAGCTCAAGGTACCAGCATTCTGCACATTTCTATTCCGTCAACCGTGGCGTGAAGCTCAGAGAGGCCAAAAGTGACCATAGCCAAGTGGCACAATGTGGCATTTATGTTATATGTGCGATGAGGGAAGCGATCCATCGTCTTGAATCTGAAGGCGAAGGTTGGCGACAGTCGACTTCCTTTGTGCTGCAAGCTGTAAGAGAGGACTGCGATTTTGGGGTGCGTCTTCTTTCGGGAAGGCTGGGCTGCTGGCGCTACATGTGCTGCTCGAGAAGTCAGACGTTTTCATCTCCAACTATCGTTGGCCGGCAGCGCTTACAGCTTGCGTACATGGATCCCCTCCCTTTGGGGGAGTCCTGTTTTTCTGAAGAGATCTGCAGGCTACGAGTCCTTGCAGCGCCTCGGCCTGGACCTGGAAGGCCTCCTGGCTCGCTACCCCCGGCTGATCTTCTGTCCAATGACCGGATGGGGATTTCATGGTCCGCACGCCAATCAGCCCGTCTACGCTGCCCGGCCACATCGGAGCTGCAAGAGACGTCTCGGGAATCTGAGTGCTGCGCAGATATCTCCGAGGACGTCTCTGGTTTCTGGGCCCGCTCTGGTGCTGCGGCCTCGCACACAGATGCCAACGGTTACCCGGCCGTGCTGGCTCCGGGTTTTGGTGACATGGCCACTGGCCTTGCAGCGGTGGGAGGCACACGTGCAGCCTGCGAATGTCTGCTCGCTGTGACGTGGTCCGGGCGGACTTTCCAGGCATTTGCGCGGCCCTCTTTGCGAGGGAGAAGACTGGTAAGGGGATGGTGCTGAGCACCAGCCTGCTCCGCGCGGGTGTGCACTGCAACTCTTGGGCCCCCTGACTGCAGGCCAGGTTTGTGATGGCACGCAGATTGAAGGCAGATGGTAGTTGCTGGCTTGCTTTGTAAGTACCGCCTCGATCGTGAGGCGCTGAGCTCATACTTTGCTTTCGGCCGAGAGATCAAGTGGGGCCGCCGCGACGGCACAGGCAATCCTCTTGCCACGGTCTATCGCTGCAAAGATGGCAAGGCCTTCTGGTTGACCGGCTTCGAGGCGGATCGTCATTGGCCAGCAACTGTCCGTGCTGTTGGCCAATCAGAGTGGCTCAACGACGCTCGTTTCGCCACGGCCAGATCGAGACGGGAGAACCAGCGACAGCTTGTGGCCGAGTTGGACGCTGTTTTCGCCACAAAGACTCGTGAGGAGTGGGCTGCGCTCTTTCAGTCGGAGGGAGTCTGGTGGGCACCAGTCCTGACTGCCGCAGAAGCCATCCGGCAGAACTTGATACGAATCCCCTTTGAGTTTAGTATTTTTTTCTGTCGCCTGCCACAGCTGTCGCAGCTGGCCCGGCACCTAGGTGGCTGCCGACCCGCAAGCACTTGCAGCCGGATCCTTCGTCGAATCCCCGCTCTCATTGAAGGCGAGGGAGGCGGGAAGGACACAGGCCGCTTGGAGGCACTGCCGCATCGGCGCAGCGCAGCTCACCTTCGAAGAACACCCTGAAACGTCTGCAATTTGTCAAGGTCACGATGGCAGCCTCGCCGGTTGATTTCATGAATGCTCCAAAGACAGAGCCGAGACGCCCAACTCCTGAGCTTGGGGAACAGACTGAGGCACTCCTCTTTGTGAGCGTGCGTCCTGGTCCCGGTATGTCCCGGTCCCTTTCCTGACAGGAGATCCTGATGGAACTCGGCCTGAGCGAAGGGGTTCGGGAAGAGATCCTGAGCGAAGTGAGACCTAAAGCCAGGCTGTAAAAGTGCTCGGGTGGGCCCTGCCAGTGCAACAGCATGCAACAGCGGCAACTCACTCGTGACATCTCGTGACATGCTTGCACACTTGCGACTTGGAGTGGAAGAGGTCAAGATTTCCGGAGCAGCTGTATCCTGGTTGGCTTCTCAGTCACATATGGATCGAACATCGCGGTTGACTTTCAATCAAGTCTTTCTGCACATAGACAGGATCATCGCAACGAGTCGTCAGTCGACATGAGACGAGGTCACCCTCACAATTTCACTCCACTGCGACCAATCCGGACTGGTTTCTCAGCCTTGGATCGCGCTCGCCTGCCTTGATTAAGGGTTGCTGTCACCCTCTTATCCTTCAGCTGGAAGTTTGCCACGGGAGGCAGTGCGGGAAGTGGCGTGGGAGTCCCGCTTCGACCTCATGGAGAGAAGGATCATGCCCGGCCCTCGGCCCTCATGCGGAGGCCTGCGATCGTGTGACCCTGGTCCTAGAGACTTTGAGGCCCAGATACGCTGCCCGAGCCTGAACGCTTTGCGTCGAAAGGGCCGCAACCTTTGGTTTTTTATGCAGTCGCCGTCGGCGATTGTCGTCGAATGTGAGGCCGAATGCATCGGAACCCCGCGTCGAGAAGTCCAGGCTGGGTGCGCCTGGAACTGCGAACAGTCAAGCAGACTTGGGGTCAGTAAGCGGGCGAAGTTGGAACAAAGCACGGATTGAGACGGTCTGAGAGCTTCGAGAGGATGGGCTGGTCCGCGGCATTCGGGTTCGTCCCGTCCAGAACCCCTTCGTGAGGCAGCCCTTCTTGGGTTCGTGCAGATTCATAGGATCTGCTGTTCTTGCATTTGTCAGGCTGAAGCCAGCGATGAAGTATCGCCTGAACACCTGGTACCGTCCTTCACACTGCAGGGCAACCAAGGGAAAGCCATGTGCCAAATGTACGACTCAAGGCAATCCCGGAATTGGAAGCAATGGTCGCCAGGGCCACGGCCGCGTCAGTGAATTGGGCCAGGGTGTAGGTAGACAGTCGGCATGTCCTTTCCACCCTGGCCAGCGCCTTCGCCTCCGCTATGTCAGGCCAAACCTTTGCAACGTCCGCGGAAGCCGCCGAAGGCTTTAGTGTTGTCCGCGATCTCAGATATCTCACAGCCTGCCACCGCTTGCAGGTACCGCGTTCCTCAGGATATTGCCCCGTACAAGGACGAGCTAGGCGAGTGGCATCCCCCACGCGTGTCTGGCAGATACAAGGCCAGGGCGCTTCCCAGTTCCAAACTGGCTGCAACATATCGCGGAATGCCCGTCTGTAAGTGTCTGGGCTGAAGGCTGATATTGAGAAGCAGTATTACCTCAACAGCATTCCCTGGGTGTGGGCAAATGACTACTACCAGGGAAAGCTGCACTACATGGCCGCGGCCTTAGCAACTGCGCCACTCTTCTGGAGACTGCTTTCTCATACGACGTCTGAAGCTTGGAGAGACTTTCTCCGCCCGGTAGGACAGAGAGCCACACGGACTGAAGCGCTGGTATCGAAAGGAGTATCGCCAGGTGGGTGCTGCATGACAGCTTATCTCAGCAGTTTCTACCTTTCCTTGGTCCGCGCAGGCTCAAGTTACAGAAGCTCTGAAGCGTGCAGATGAGATGATCGAAGATTACCGCAAGGAGAGAAGACAGGCGGGCTGGGATCAGGACCGGATGTGGCACATAAA